ACGCAGATCCATATTTGCACATTACGTTAATTATTACAAACGCGCGCACGTTCCTCGTAGCTATATTAGCTTATTAACGAGTGCCAGCGACGTCTCGTTTTACACTAAACGCTTTCTGCTTTTTCGCGTACCACCCGCCGCTGTATACAGGATGCAATCACGAGCTATTGTGAGCCTATTGTATTGCAGGCTTTTAGAAAATAACCGGAACGTTTTTGTCCTTTCTGAATTACACACGGGCGTAAAATTCACCATTATATTCGTGCACGCATTTGTTCCCTACAACCTACGAGATCGAAAAATAAGGCACGCTCTTGCAACAAAGATACATCTGCACAAACAATTAGAAACACGCAACTCTTTTCCTATATTATTTGAAAAATTATTTAAAAGAAGAGAAAGTATATCATCGTGCAATTTACAGGCGGAAATATAATTAGAAAGAAATCAAACCATTTCTTCTTTTTAAGATACAATCAAGCTTAATAATTCTTTGTAAGAATGTGTGCAATTATTTATTTATTAACGATGCAATAACAATAAATATGCATACATGGCACATATGTATAATAACTTATAGTATTATTATAAAAGTGTTTTTAAAATATATCATCGTCGTCGTCGTCGTCGTCGTCGTCGTCGTCCTCGTCATCGTAATCATCATTGTCGTCCGAATCTTCCGGAAAAAATTCTACTTGGCCCAAACCACCTCCGTCCTCTGGCTTTAACAGAGCTAATCCGTTCGAACCGAATCTAAGACAGTCTAAACTAACCTGCGGAAATACACGAAATCGAATAAAGTCAGAGAGGTCATTTGTGACCATTTATACACGGGGAAAAAATGATAACAGCATTAGGTTTAATTGGGAATAATTTGTCAACTTAATGGTATTTGTTTTATTAAAACAATAACGTTTTGCTGACCTTAAACAGTGTAGTATCCTGGAACTTTCCTTCCATATTGAGACACAGATGAATGTTTCTGCCTTGGAAATATATATTATAAAATTTGACGCACGCTCTGATCGGTAGCCGCGGAACAGGAACACAAATCGGCCTAGGATTCTTTCCTATAAGTATACGAGGAGATAAATTAAAGGAAATGTACTCGTTTTTCTCTTGTCTGTAATGGTTTATATGCGCTTACCGGAAACAGTCCTTGTATAAAGGACTCTGTCGTTCATCATGATATTGGCGGTGAAGCTGAATTCGTCAGGATCGTACGTGATGTTCACGCAGGCCTTTTGCTTCCATGTGTCGTACAGGATTCTTGAACAGCATCCGCAGATCCCGCCGCTACACTGACAAGGTCCCTGTTTGGTCGCGGTCACCGTGCCGTTTTCCGATGCCGAAGAATTCGAATTCTGCCTCAACAGCTTCTTCAATTGCTCCAGATCCTCCCGCGATCTCGGGGAATCCTCGAGCTCACTGCTAACGTTTCCTCCTATCGCAAAACCCTCGTTGGCCCTCGATTCTAGGCGCGAGCACGATTGCGCGAGGACGGTGATTAGCAGCAGCCAGCAGGCGGCTCTCATTTTGCGTTCTTGATCTTGTCTGACGTTCAAATGAAATGAGAGGACATCTCGAGATGTGCTTTCTTGCTGGACGATTGAAACTTGACTGGCCGGTTAACGGGTACTTTAGACTGACCCAGTTTTACGGTGAAATTTAGGCTTGGCTCGTTCGCCCGCATTTTGTGATTGACTAGAACTCGTCACGGAGAAACGACAGGATGCTCTGGAAATGCTGTCTCGAATATCTTTCATCTTTAAATACGACAAGGATAAAATGCTATTTTAAGCTAGAGTTCTATAGGTTAAATTATTCATTGATCTAACATGATTCTCCGTCAATATTAATAATGAAAAGTCGTTGAAGACACTCGTAATTAAAGCAAGTACTTTATCTTTAATGAAGGAAAGAAATGCGCTAATTTATAAACGTTGATACTTATATGTAATAAATTTTATAAAATAATAAGGCCAATAAATTCGAAGCTATAGTTGTGATACACTTTATCGTCACATCAGGAATACATATACATATATTATATAATAATAAATAAAACATATTCACTGATAGATATAACATTTATAGCTTAATAATAACGTCTCGCGTGCATATATAATTTTATAATTATGTGGACATCACAACTTTAACTGGCCGATGTTATTTTCTTCCTCGGGCGTCATACTCAAAGTTTGATCGTTTAGAAGCTCAACGGGATCTGTCTCAAAGTTAACTTGGTCGTATATTTCCGGCCCATTCACTTCCGGCATGACTATCCCCATTTGTACCATTTGAGGAAAATTGTCACTGTCACCGGGTTTCATCCAAGATATTCCATCCGCGCCGATCTTTATACAATCGAAGTGCAAAACCAGGACTGGCCATGTCACCGCAAGTACCTCCAGATCGACGCACGCGTGCAGATTTCTACCCATCATGAAGACATCGTACAATCGTACGCAGAAGGACATGAAAGGAGGATAGACAGGTACGCAGAACGGTGCTGGATTATTAGCTGCAAATTAATTTATTACATTTTACAATCTACACGAATGCAAATTGTATCAGATCTAATGAAAAACCCGCTGACTATAAAGTTTACATGGTGAAATTAATATACAATTAATTTTTCAATTTTATTGCAAAGCGGAAAAATCAAAGAGAAATTATTTTCTTTATCAAAAGGATGCGTATAAAAATTTTTTAGGCTTGAAATATATTATATAAAAGTTATTTAGTTAAAGATATACTCACCAGATATCACACCCGAAGTGACAATTTCTTTATCGTTTAATACAAAATTTAATTTGATGGCGAGATTCTCGGGGTAGTAGGTGAAATTTGTGCAGGCTTTACGGTTGAAGTTGAATGTGGTTACATTGATACCGCTGCAACAGCCACAAGTTAAACCCTCGCAGTCACATTTTACACCACGGAAACCGACCCCGGAAAAGGGGCCACGACCGATATTCTCCAGTGCACCTTTCAATGATAGCTGCGTCATCGGATCGTAGAACACCATATTGAATTTAGTTACATCTGAAAGAAAACATCGCTTAGGAAATATATCTGTGCACGTCGAAACTGATCGACAGCCAAAAGCTGTCACGGTCCACGAAAATCAAAACGAAAGAAACGGATTGGGACGAGGTGCGATTTCATTTTTGCGAGGCTGAAACAAAAAAGCCAGAAACGAGTCGAAGCGGGCAACTGCGGGCGATCGATTTCTAAAACGAAACGTCGCAGGTAGAAGCAAGACTTGGCTATAAGAAATCCTGGCAACGCGTTTGGAATTCGGAGTTTGACACAAACAAAAGCTTCGATCATTGTATTGGAACGTGCCTCGCGTGGAAAGCCATTGAAATATGAAACGGAAAATCACGATATACACGCGTGCCTCTCGATTACAGTGATGTATTCAAAGTCCGAACAATAGTAAAAATGCGAAAGAAAATATGCCAAATATGTCTTTCTTTCTCTAAAAGAAATTACGATTTTTCTTTCTCTGAAAAAGCAACAATATTTTACAAAGGTAATTAAAAAGCAGATATAATTTATCTGAAGAAAATTGTGTTTTCAATTAAATGTATATGAGAATTTTTAAGTCTACATTAAGCAGAAAAGTTTGTACAATTATAATAAAACATTAGAAATTTCACAAATTCTTCGTAAGCGTTGCCTTTCATTAACAAATCGCCTTGCCAATTTTCTTGCAAATTTTTATTGCTAGACTTTAAAACATTAATTGCAAAGAACTGTTTTAGTCCTCTTACCGATAAAATTGCTGATGGTATTGCCCGCAGATATGTTCTGGACTCCTAAAGCCAGAAGAGATACGAGAAGCCACTTAGATATCATGATGGTAGGCTGCACAACCGGCACGCTTCGACGCCAACGGAAGACTGAAATTGGGCACACGCTGGACCAAGACGCGGAGACCCTACGTGTAGATTCATTAATTATGCATCAACTTTCCATAGAAGGTAAAATAAAAATGCTTAATTGCAAATTGTCACCATTACGTGACGGTTTACGACTAAGAAATAATCGAAGACAAAGATATAAACCTACATTTACTTTTACTAAAAAATTTACTTTTACTAAATTAAACTTGACGACGCTATTAAATGACCAATAAATCTGTGGCAAAATCGGCAATCCAAAAACTCACAGAAATTCGAAACTTTGCAGAAAAATATGGTGCACGTAAACCAAATTGTATATACATAATTATTTCTGATTACAATAAAAAACCAACTTTAAGGGTAAAAGCACCTAAGGGTAAAATTCCTCCGAAGTTTTCGTATCCTTTAATTTTCCTGTCCCTAAGGATAGCCTTTGATTTTGTAATTTGATAAGAAGAATACATTAATTTGATGCAACATTGTGTAAAATAAACCAGATAACCACAGAATGACGTGACTGCCATTCGAATGCTCTTGTTATATAAGAAAGAGATTTCAGATTTCACGTCATTTCAGAAAATATTAAAGATAAGAGTCCGCTTGTCCTAATAAATGTGTGTAATTACCTTGCCTGAGTTGATTATTAAAATCTGTACTTGTTTGTCTAGTAGTATAAAACTCTTATCTTTAAATTTATCGTACATATTAAACACTGTGAAATAATCTTAAGTCACTCCATTGCGCCACAAAAGAATCTACAAGAATAGCTGATTATGTGCTATGAAAATTATCTGACATGCCATTTGCGTAAAACTACTTAAACAAGAATTTTTTTAAATGCCTTTTTGAGTTGTCACATCTTGGGACATATAAAAATTATTATTAATAGTATTAATGCTCTCACAATAATTAATTAATTCTGTTATGGCGAGAATTTTCTGACAGAATTGATTTGAACTAAAATCGGAAAATATATCAAACGTTTTCATACGCATATAAAAAATTATTTTAATAATTTAAATAAATTTAAATTAGTCAATAATTAATTCTAATCAATAATTAGTCAGTAATTCACTTTAGCCAATAATTCATTACTGCTAATTTTAATTTAAAAAATCGAAGAAGTTGAATTATGGAAGGCGCGGGATAAACGCGTTATATTTTTTATTTATTACAGAGTCAATAAATAACTTCATACATACATAAATCATAAATATTCATTTGCTCTTAATAAATAACGTTAAACTAATCGAGCAATTTATTATGGCTGAGGTCACGAACAATTCATATATAAGTCTTCCTTATGAACAGCTCCCTGCAAATTCTCGCATTACATAAAAGTATCCCTAGGATCTTATTTTCGAGACATAAAAAACCTCTATTCACGCAATTCTAATTGAGCCTTCTCTCAAGAAAGTTCTTCCATCTTCGCTGCAAGATCTCGTATCAGTCCGTCTAATTCAATAAATAAATATTAACTACGTAAAAAAAACAAGATAATTGTGATAGCGAAATAAACTGCTTAGTTTTAAACAATAAAATCAATTAACAACTATTATAAAATTAGCGATCCTTTTTTAATTATCATTATGAAATAACTATGACGTCATAAAATTGCGTATCCGCTATTTGTAAGCCTTCACGAAATGATGCGCCGGGAAACGTTGACTTTTGTAATCTTATCGTGAAAAAAACAGGTCGCACTCTCACAATTATACCAATTCACCAAATCTTCGAACGCTCCGCTGATCCGAACAAAACGCCCCGAGTTTTGTAGGATCCAACGAATTTATGGCCCGATAAGAAGGATGAGCTTTCTTCCGCTTCCAATTATTCTACTGACTGGAGCAATACTCTGTACACTTCAAAGCCTCGTGATCTTGCTTTGACGATGTTCACTGGAATGCCTCTTCCTACCAAAGAGTTCCAATGCAAGATCGTCATCCTCATCGCCGTGCTTGTGGACATTGGTCTGATTCGTCTTCGTCTCTTCTTTGCTCTTCTTACTTTTCCCGGTACCTATAAGAGCACTCAACATGGAGTCTTCCTCCTCGTCGTCATCGTCGTCGTCATCGACCAAATCGGCAAGATCCACGGCCTTCTCGTCCTCATCATCGTCATGCTCCTCGTGCTTCTCATCGTCTAATTTATCTTCGTCCTCCTCGTCTTCGTCTTCGTCATCTTTATCATCGTCGTCGTCGTCATCGTCGAGAACGTCATCGTCCTCGTCCTCGATTTCCTCGTCATCGTCATCCAAAATGTCATCATCGTCATCGTCTTCGTCGTCCTCATCCTTGATAGGTTTCTTCGCTGGTTTCTCGGGATCATGGATAGCGTTGACGCTGGTCGACGTCACCGTGGGTTTCTTCTTGTCTGAAACAACTCCTTTCTTCACTTTGTTGGCGGTCGGCGCCTTATCGGGTTTTGCGGTGTATACAATTTTGTTGGAGGCTTCCGTGTTCTCGTCAGTGCTGTCTTCGGTATTACTCTCGGTAATTCCCGTATCTTCTTCTTCTGTCTTGTACGGTTCTTGGGTATTGTCATCATGTTCCTCGTAATTATTTTCCTGCTCGTTGTTGGCGAAGGTGGGCTCGTGATCCTCTAACGTTCCGGGAGTCGTTGGCCGCGGTAGAATCGGTATAGTGAATTCCAACAATGGTGGTGGAGTGGTAACTTTCGGTCTTGTTGGCGCTTCGTCATCGCCAGTAAAGATATCCAGCAGAGCACTGAAGCCTAACAAATCATCTTCGTCGTCGTCGTCATCGTCTGATTCCTGCGCATCTTCAATTTCCGAGCCATCGGAGACGGAATTCGTGTTGGGCGTTTCATCATCCTCATCGTCGTCGTCGTCATCATCCGAGCCAAGCCCGAAAAAGTCGTCATCATCGTCTTCCTCCGAAATAGCCTCTGTCTCGACAATTGGAAGTGGCTCAGCTGGTCGAAGCTTCAGACCCTCTGGGCCGAATCTGAAATTCAAGTTCGAATAACGGCACTTTGCTAACGCCAACAAGTTCGAATAACGGCTGCTTTCAATAATATTTTAACAAACAATTTGCATATTACGTATTGTTAATTCTTTGCCTTAGGAATTCTTGTTGTAAATTTAAAAGAGAAGGGAAATCTACTACTGTTACACCTTTATTGATAAGTACCTGAAACAACTGACGCGAAGAGTAGCTTCCAACTCAGTAGGGGACTGCAGTTCCAAGCCGAGACACGCTTTGAAGTGATTCTTCGCATCGCGTTGAATGGAGTAAATTCTGCCGCAGAATTTGGTGAAGCCACCCGGTAGCGGTACGCACACAGGCCTCGGACTTTTTCCTAAAATTGAACATTTTTTCGCAAACTTTACCAAATGTCCAAACTTTACCAAGTAAACGTATTTCTAATAAAGAAACAAATTAAATTAAATATTTAATTATAACAACTTTATTAAAATGCGTGTTTTTTTTAGAGGAAGCATCTCAGATATCACTATTCACATATCATGATGTTAAAAACTGGTCTAGTTCAAACAAATTGAGGTCATCGAGCATGATAAAAAAAATGAACATACTTGTCGTCGACATCCTCGAAAAATTGTCTGTACAAATACTTTCGCTCCGCTAGACTGACACGAATTCGTCGAGTGGCGCCTACATGCCACCGACTCGACTTCGTAATCCATTTTTTTCATGAACACATACCGGAGAACTTGATCTTGCGCACGTGAAACTGGGCAATGTGAAATTTGCCCGATATAACGGAGCAAAAGTATTTTTTATGTAGTTATTGCGTGGTTTCGCGTGCTTTAAAAAGAAGTAAAAGTTTCAAACGCTACATTCTATTGACGGAACCCCATTGACAGTGACATGCCGGGTGAAAGTCGGATTATAACTTCCTGGACGTTACGCTAATATGTGTCCGCCGAACGTTTTTTCACACACGATTAACACACTTTTCAATATTGTTGAACGCGCGGTATGTACACGCGCGTGATTAATTTTTTTACACGAGACACGCGACATCAATTGTTCGCCAAACAAAGACGAGCATGGTCTATATGTTTTCTATAAAATCTAGATCTTTTCATAATTTATAATAGCAGTAACATGCTGTTCCAAATCTCTATTATCGGAAGCATTTTAAAGAATTAATATTATACTAAATTAATTATCGAAATCACTTTCAATAAATGGAAAATTATTTAAAAGATCAATTTCATCGGCAGGTTTGTTACAATAATTATTCGACGCGGTAATTTTCTTTTTCTTTTTCGTAATAAACAAATACTTCACACGAAATATTGATTAATCAGAGAAAGTGGCGGATTGTTAATTGCGTACTGAATGTAATTACCGTTAACGATCGTGCTGGTTAATATGTTGTCGCCGAAGCTCAACTGGACTGCCAAGTTGTCACCTTGAAGGTACTGCAGTGACGCGCACCCTAAAATTTCAGATACTCTCATCAGTAACATAACATATTTGTAAAAAAATGTATTAAACTTTTTCTATCACAGGTAAAATTCTATTTCCACGTAAAATGTATGTACGTGTGACATGGCGCACAATACATGACGGCTAATCAGAGAACACGGTACTGCAGATAACAAACGCATTATACTTGGTTCCCGCGCTGCACTTTCATTTTTCGTGCACGCGTTGCGTGATAATTACCTGGTCCTTTCAGCTGCACGAGCGGTATGTGAAAGTCCCGGCAGCAGTTGCAGATGTTCTCGTTGCAGGTGCAGTATCGATTCACGCTGTCGGTCGCCTGTTTCAGCGACATTGTCGTCAAGTCTATGTCACTTTGCTTCACATTATTCGCGGCACGAGCCACTCGATGCGTCGCCTCATTGCGATCTGTGAGTAGATTATAATTTCAGCACGCTTTAGACCGCTTAAAATTCATGTCAAATTTCGGGATACATTATAATATCAATATCAGACCTATATTGGCTAAATATGAGAAGGCGTCCGTCTTACAATATTGAGAATACTAGATTTATATTATTTCCCAATACCGCGCCAATATATTGTGCTACTAGGGATTTTTTATATTTATAAATGTATCATTTGTATCAAAATTAATTTCCAAATTTTTCCAAGTTTTAGTAGATTTATTTTCGCTCTCCTTGTATCATTCGGCTCATATTCTCCTCAAAGTTTTTCTCTTACCAATTACTCGACCGTAAGCCGCGAAGGCCACCAACAAGAGGATCAGCAACAGCTCGAAAATCGTCGACAGTCGCATCCTTTTGCTCTATTCTGAAAACAATACCAAGAACACGTAACGCGGTTGTATTATTAGAGTGTGTGAAAAACGCACGTCTCGTATGTTGTAGCACGCGCGTTCTAATCTCATTTCAGTTTCTTTCGGCCAATTGGCATGACAATAGAAACCGTAAAAGCAGTAAAGATTTTACGCGCGTGCCGACGCAAATGCCAGAAACTGCACCGAGTTTCATGCTTGATTTACACAGTACACCTATTTCCCTATTACGCAGTTAAATGTTATTTCGAAATGTTTGTAACAGATAATCAATTGTCTTATTTATTTCTATTAGTGCAAAGTTCTTCCACACAAATTGGATTTTAATTTTCAAAATTACTTTTTATTTTACCAATAATGAAGAAGTTATCTTTGCAGTGTTGAATTTATTGTATATTGTTGCATTTTAAAAATGCATTAAAATACATTACGTTGAAAAGAAAATGATTGTTTCATTTTATTATCTTTTATTTTTTTTACGCGAGTCAGGAACTTTCGGATCTTATCACTAATTGCTAGAATTTTTCTCGAAAGCTCGTTTCGTTGATTGAGCGACTTTTGAGAATACAATTTCTGAACGACTTTCAAACTGCGCTTCTCAATTTTACGCAGACCGCCTTTAACTCTCCAATCATAAAGAGCACATTAGAAAAAAAAGAGTGCATTGGACGTGTTTCTTCCCTCACAATTATTTCTCCTTTCGACGATTATCCCATAGCCCTCGTCGCCGAACAATAGAGACATTCGTTCCGCTCATCAATCGTCGAGATAGAGCGGCAATTTCGTTTCCGCCACCCTGTTCGTTAAAACACTTGTACCAGAACCACCGCGATATTTTTATCTTCCGGATAAACAATCGGACAAATCGTCTCAGACGTGGCGAGACGTATTCTCCTTCCGGTTTCAAACGCGAGTTCCCCTCATATGCTAGCGACCGGTTGACCCAAATCCCGGTCACGGTCAAAGGCGTGCGTCGGAAAGGCGCTTACTCGAGAGACTCGATGGCGGACTTTAGTAGCACGATCGAGAGGAGACGCACGGTTTTACGCGCGAAACAGACACGCGTGTCACCGTTATAAAGCGCGTTACATATGGTCAAGGCGCTGAATACGGCCGGGGCTACCGCTTCGACGTGTCGCCGATTACATGTGTCGATTCCTCACGCGTCGTCGAATCTCACGCACAGACTAAATCGCGGAAGTGACAGTGCGAGAAGTCAGGCTCGGGACAAATGGTGACTTACGAAAATGATTTCTAGGACTTGCCTTATCCGTCTCACCTCGTTAGGGGCGATTAATCTGATCTATTAATCTGAGGAGAGATAGATAATATAAATATTGTACATGAATAATACGCACGTGTTACATAACACGCGTGCCGGATCCAGATTGTACAATATTTAACGATGCATATGCGACGTTTAATTACTGAATAATTTAAATATTAAACAAAATCAATTCTATATAATGCATATTAGCACCAGAGAGCAAAGAAATATTCGTTGATTTTGTTTCACATGCGAGCTCTATTTTATTAATTAACGTTAAACACGTTAGAACGTGTGTTTCTATTAAACGTTTATATATAGAAGCTGTACAGAATACAATTATATTATTTTGATGACTTATTTAAAAATCATGAATTACATCTAGAGAATCAATTGCCCACGTGTGGGCAATTGATTTGCAAGCGAGTGACTCCTCGTTTTTGTCGCGCGGCGCGTTTCCCAGTTTCTCAAATCTTGCAAACGCACAAATTGTAGCTGACTCTACCCACCTGCGGGTCGTTGAGAAGAAATCCGAGGGGGCAACCGTGCTCGTGCTCTCCTGTCTCCTGCACCCTACGGCTCTTTTTCCCTGACTCTTCGTCTTACGGAGGCCAATGTCCAACTGAAGATGCCGCCCAACTCCCCCCAAGGTTTCTTTAAAAGTCGGTCAGGCCACCACCACCTGTCCGCCAGGCCGCTGCTAGGATTATTAAACATTCTAATGCGCTCTAGGTAAATCAGAGGCGACCCCACGCCAACCACGTCACGTCGCTTCCGATCCTCCGTCGTCCTTCATCGGACGACGATGACGGCGTCGCCGTCGTCCCGACGACGAAAGCGGGAAGTCCACTTTTCCATCTCTCCGCGAACCGGTACCAGGTGTCCGCGGTGCACACGGATGAATGAAGATGGTTCCGGATGATTCAACTCGCACGAAAATATCCACGGGAGGGGGAAAAGTCACGCCGATGACTTCCGACATCCTTTAATTACGTCCGGATTCCGGCAGAAAAAGCGACAAGCCGCCCCGGGGACGCGACAATCCGATGTTCGCGGTGCACTCATCTAAATTCGTTTAGATTGCTACGGCAAAAAATTCAATGGGGCATACGGGATGTTCTGAAACATTTCCAGTTGATGTACGTGAAGTTTCTCAGAATAATCGAGATTTTCAAAAACATTGGCTTTCGGTAAAAATCCAGGAAAAATCTACTCGCGTCTGTTTAGTTCTTTGCAAGATTAGATTTTACTCTTATTTTACTTACCCTAATTGCTCTATTTCCTTCATATTGTAAGTCAAAATGTTAATTTCTATCTTACACATGCCGCGACTCAATTCGATTTTACGACCACTACAGGTGCCTCTAATTAACTTGCGATCGCTATAATAACGTGACCTACTATTTTCTACCGATGAAACTATATTGCATGACTCGCAGTGCATCCACGATTAGTGTAAGTGACATCAATTCTTTATTCGCATTGCACATACTAATTGCTTTGACATCCATATTATCATTTCATGTACTCGCTTCCTGGTAACCAATAAATTTCTTTAAAATTTGTCAGACAGCTGTTAAAAAGATTATGAGCAATTAAAAGAGAATCTTATTGACACAAAATGTATCCTTCGTTAAAATTCTTTCTTTAATATTTTCAAAAAATTCTTTATTCTAATTATAGTGAAACAAATTGAAAATAAAATTGTAAATGTTAAAAATGTGTACATAATGCAATTCAATAATCTTATATGCAATATACGTAATTATATAATACATATAATATATAGAGGTCCCCATAACAGGGGACTTTCCTCTATAAAATATGTAACTTGTCAGTTCCAATACTTTTATCCTCAAAAGGACTAGCATCACGAAACGAAAAATGGAAACAAATGTGTATCGATGCAAATTAGTATCGTCAGTCGAGTTATTTCAATTTTTCTAAATATTTTCTAAATTTTGCACGAAGATATACGGCACGGTCAGCCAATGCCACTTGTGCCAGCCGTGAATGCCACGGTTCGCGACACAAATTCTAACCGAAGACCCACTTTCGTGCGCCTGCAGTCTCTCGCGGGAGTTTCGTCGTCGTGCGGGAGAATAAAGAGAAGAAAAATATCCGGAACGCAACGAACGACACGAGTGCAGCGTGAAATTAATGCAGGTGCTCGCTCGTACGTACGCACATTCGTTCATTTGTTGGTTTATTCGTTCGTTCGCCTCCGATCGATCCTCAGAATCGTGTTTTGGCGGTTAAGGAGGGGCCTTTCTCCGGTTAGTGGGTCGAAGAAAGTAGTGGCCAGGAGTGGTTTACCTTGGTTAATATTTGTTCGTTCCCCGATAGCCTGGTAGAGTCGCCGATAGCGATGGCATCAAGCTTATCGCGAGTAGAGTAGCTCTTGTCGGGAGGAGCACGATACCCCGTCCCTTTAAGAGTACTTCAAGAAACAATAAGGGAGAGAATCTTCAATAAAGTTAATTCGAAATTGTTCAATAACGATGCTTATAGAGAGCTTCCCAATCTTTACGTGCTTCAGATGTCAAGCGGTCTTTAGTACGACGTTAAATCATTGTTTAAAATACATAATAAATATTTGGATAAAAACTATTCCTGCTTGAAAACCCAGAACTGCACAGATTTCTTCAACGGGAGGATCAGGCGGCAGCTGAGGAAACACATCGATTTGATCCCATCGCTACACGGACTATTTAAATCGAATATGATAACTCGATCTTCGAGGGTTCCTAAGTCGATGAACGAAACGTACGACCCGGAAATATGTGGGCCACCAGGCGGGGGGCAAACGAGTTTTTACGTAACGTCGTGGGATAATCGCGTTCGGATGCTACGAACCCGGCTTCCCTCCGCGGTTGCATCTTGTTGCAGGGGAGAAGAGAACGAAAATAAAAAAAAAAGGATCGCGGACGACTCCGTACAGTCGCACTTGCCGGCGATTAGATACGCGATTAAGGCGGAGTAATCGCGCGTCCGTGACATTGACGTCGCGCGAAGTTGACGGCACGCGACGCTATTATTTGCGCAATTATCTAACCGACGATCGTTTTCGCGGAGATAATCGATGACAGAGCGGATTACAAACGAGTCGCGTCCAATCGTACCCTCCTTCTGATGTAATTCCGCGCGAGCCGAGAGAGAAATTGCTATTTTTTTCAGCCCGGTATATCTCTTCGGATTGATTGAAAAATTTTGTAATCTACATTCGGCGACTTTGTCTCAAAGCGTGACTTCATTGGCATATTTCGCGCGTTTCTAACGCAAAAAAAAGAAGTTACAAGCGAATAGAGAAAGTTGGATTTCTGCTGTTATAACGAATCGGCTCTATTTCAGAAAGGAATGTTCCCCTTCGAAGGAGAATGTCTTTTCACTCGGCCCATTCCGCGGTCACGTCAGCAGACATTTCGCTCCGTTTCCCGTCTCTCGTAGTCACGCGTAACAAACCGCGCCCACGCTCATCCAAAAAAAAAAAGAAGATATCAAGAACGCGACACGCTGTGCAATCGGTAGGACGGAATCGTAAGCGATTTTACGGCCCGCGACTTTTCTTCAAACGGTGAAAGCCGAGGATAGGGTTCTCAAGAAGAGGAGAGAAGCCCGGCGCGTTAAATTAGAAACATTCGTGCGCGAAGTGAGACGAAGTAAGCCTTTTTGAGCACATTAAGCCTTGTGTCCACGATCCAAGGTTCAAGTTCTGGTTCAAGAAATGTATAGCCAATCAACTTGCAGCTTTTCTGCAAAAGATGCAGGTTGATTGGCTACACATTTCTTGGAACTAGAACTTGGACACAGTTCTTGGACGTGGACACAAGGCCTTACACATGTTAGAAAGTATTTCTTTGTTTGTGGAACTTTTACGGCGTAACTTGAAATTTAGAGAGCAAGAGATCAGCATTGCTGAGGTGATTAAATTCGAAAGTGGAACGTTTTGATCCCACAAAGTCGAGCCTCAACTGCGCGGTTGTTTTGCGAAATATTAGAAAATTTCTTCAACTTCTATCTTTGACAAATTTAATACTGTTGGATTTATCTGTTAATAAGTAATTATTGTAAAAATTTTAGGAAATTACAATTTATCAGGTTTCAATTTTGTTGCAGATAGAAATTATGTGACATTTTAATATTTTTCACGACTTTACGATACAGATAAAAGAAAGAAAGCGCGAGAGCGTGTAAATAGCTCGAAGTGATAATCCCTGGGAAGGAATTTTCAAAGAGAGAAGACATTCTCATTTCTTACGCTTTTGACAAAATTTGCAGAAAATTGCAGACCTACTATGTCTGAAATCTGGAGAATTTCAGCGACCGCAAAGAGAACCCGTCTTCAAGATCGTCCACCTCCAGCATCATGGGCAATAGTCCCCGAAGAGTAGCCCAATACCTTATGTCCCCCATTTGTAGCCCCCTGTGCCGACGCGTCGCGGAGGGGCACGGCGCCAACGGCCGGCGCTCGCGAGTTCCCTCCCGGTCGGCGGAGGAAGGAGGTCACCCGGTCACCCAGATGAGGTTCTTTGCCCGCCGTTTGTTGCCCCCTCGTCGCGTCGCATCGCGCACCGACGGTGGCCAGCCGGGGTGCCCCACCGACACGACGGTCCTGACCAATCCTGTCCCCTGTTTTCGTGCCGACCGCCGAACCGGTCGGTGATCCGGCACCCGCGGTGCCGGCGCCGTGTCCAGATTTAAGCTTCTTCTTTGCCGGGCAGGATCTCCGAAGATCTCCTCACTCGCGCGTTCGTTTAATTTTGAGCCGTTTGTCTCTCGCGCGGTCACAACATCGCGATCCCGATCATCCGACTGCTGCTCGATCGAGGGATCGAGCGCGATCGTTCTCCGCCGTGAAAGAAACGGTCTTGTCGAGCGAACAATAATTTTGGAGAACACACCATGGCTGTGAGGGCCACGATTCTGGTGCTGATGGTCACCCTGGTGGTCGTCGCGTCAGCTGGATTGCTCGGTGAGCTGTTCGGGGCAAAATGCGATTAGGAAGCTATTAGCAAGTGCGAAGATTCGAGTTCGCGCGGGTGATCGCGACGCGCCCGGAGATTTCAACGCGCGGGCGGCGCGCATGCACGTGTTTGCCTGCGTCGCTCGGCGGAACTGCGATTGTTGTTTTGTATCGTTTACGTGATACGCGCGATTGCAATAAAGAGAGCTTACATGACCGGTTACTTTCTATTTGTTTTTGGAAAAAACGAAATATCGACTGGCATTCGATTTATCTTGCCGCAGGGTAAGACTAACTGTTGTCGTGAACATGATAGCTAATTGTTGGAATTGATAAATAATTATTTTACAGTGTTATTTTGTCAGAAAACACCGCTGATAGTTTTATTATAGAAAACAAAGAGCTACTTTTGTCAATATAATGCATTTAAAATTTCCAACGAAAAGAAAATCAATTTCTATTGCGTTTTCTACCTTTGAATAGACAAAATATTTTATTCGGATTGTCCTCGAATTATTATTCCGCTTCGAACAAATGTTAAAATGTTAAAGTCTTCGGGGATCCCGTTTGGTTTGGAAGTTTAAGTCAGATACGTTCTCTAATTTCACTTTCAGCCTATGCCATTCGATTCTAAGCTGCCTTTGTCTCTATTGTCGTTCGTCATCTAACAAAGGATGCACTTAAAACTGTCATTCGATCTCGACAATACGCGAGAAAGTCCGCCGATGGAAATCCTCGCATTGGCACACTTAGCATCCAGGTGTAGCTCCCCGATCCATAAATGTGGGCATAAACGTTACAAATGTCACAGTCTGATTCGTCATTCCTTCGAGGGAGAATCCAAAGGAAACTTTTACGACGCGGCGGTGAAACGCGTAGAAATTTGGCTTCCATTTGACTTTCGATCGGCGGCACGACTTTCGTTTCGTTCCGATTTCTCTATTCCGAGTTTCTCTGCCACGCGCGTCCCTTATCTCTCGCGCACAGGTGCGCAACATACACACACGCGCGTTTCCTGCCCGCAGAGACCCTGCTTTCGTGGGACCTGCCGGAGGTCGAGGCGAGATCAGCCACGTCGCAGTCTAAGTGTCTGTGCCAGACTTCTGGCTGTCTGTGCTGCGTTGACCTGAACTTGACGTCCACGATCGATCTAGGCGGTCCAGCTTGCGTCAACATCAAGCAAAAGGAGCAGAATATCTCATTAAACTTGAGCTACGGCGATAATCCAATTCACAATGCGACGATAAGGATCGGCAAGTAGTCAAACCGTAATAATAAAAGCGAAACCTTTTGCCTCTGTATTGAATTTAAATTAAATTAAATATTGTGTCAACTTAAATTATATTCATATAAATTTAATGTGTTAAAAATTCAATTAAAAATTGCATTATACAAATATATTAATGAAGCTTTACGCATTTAAGAGTTGCACGATCTTTTATATTTCGATTTAATATGAACATTTTATATTCCAATTTTATACGTATTAATATTCACATTTGTTTACATCAGACAAATTGATCTGATTAAATTTGCAATCGTCGATATTTGTATTCTTGTAGCGAACGCGGCCAATAAACCGACGTGCATGAACCTGTTGTCGGATTTGGCGCAGATCTGCGCGCGATTTACGTCGGTGAAGCAATCTGACATCGGTGGTTACGACGGTTGCATGGTAATCGAGCCGGCTTTGCTGAGCACGCCGCAAGCCACGTACCACATAGGATGCTTCAATTTTTATCAGGGTGTCCGACAGGTGGAGGTCTCCGCGTAAGTATCGCTGCGATCTTCCCTAAAGGAGAGATGCGGAAAAACTGTCGGGAAAGAATGGCATGTTATCTTCTTTCGAATAATCCTACGCAGCATCACGGAGACGACGGAGCCCGTCGACAACGCGGACGAAGAGGAAGACACCTTGAACACCGATGAGCTGATCGCTGCGGTGTCCGCCAGCGCTGAACAGGGTATCGCGCTGTTCACCCAATGGCTGGGCCTCAATCTGAATCCGAAACTGAATCTCACCAATAAGGAGAACGGACAGCAAGATCATCATCAACAGAGAACGACGAATAGTGGACGGATAGCAGGACCGTCATCAACCGACGTGTCATCGAGATCGGCCCGGAATATGGCCGACGTCGTCCAGAGCGAGAAGAACGACGAGCGGTTCAAGCAACTGTTGAGCGCCCAGGACAATGTTCTGAAGGGCTCGGCGACTATTGGACAGCACCACGACGCGGAGACCACGTTTGTTTACTCTAGGCCGAGCGATCTGTTGACCGAGAGAAACGCGACCGAAGAGGCCAAGAGGAAGCTCGAAGCGGAGGCCGTGGCGCCGCAGCACCGGGTCGTGGTGCCGAAGGAGTCCAGGAGGGGCGGACGGGCGTACAACATTCATCAGCACGTCAACGAGATCTGAGCCCGTGTGATCGGTACCTCATGCAGGAGACTGCCGACGATTCCTTCTTTTAGAGCTAGAGTGCCGCACGTAGACTATACTCGTACAATATGTATGCACGCGGAGCTGGGTGATGAAGAGGAGGTCATCGCTTTGTTCGACCGTCTCGGCCATCACAGTACATTTAACTGCGGCAATTCAATCCTCACGATCATTACAGATCGTGATCCTCGGTAATATTCCGATAATATCGGTAAATCAGCGTATCGCAATTTGCGGTATGGCGCGAAACAATAGAATTGTAACTTCGCACCATAATTCAATCTTCGGTAGCATCTTCGGCAGGTAGCAACGCTATCGTCGTATCGTTTTCATACCGTTTCACGGTACACGGAGATGGAGGGAAAATGGTTTTCTTTTTAACATCAAGCTGCATAAGAGTTGTTGACGATTTGTTGTCTGTTAATTATTTTAAGAGCTACTTATAGAATGTCTAAAGAGATCATTTTCACAAACTGTATTTCATCTCTTAGTAGATTATTTTACTAAACCACAAGGTGTTGCTAAATCTTTCTATAAGTTTTTCCCGCTTTGGCGCAGTTTCTCGCGATCTTTTCCTATTATTTGCTGTCAAATTAATGCGGTCAAAATGTCGGATTTTATTTATCAAAAGAGATGGTTTATAGTGGCGTTAGATTACAAATCGGATACATAAATGTGTATACATTATATATTCCTTCATTACTCCTGATTTGAGGACCAATACATAAATTGATCGGTATATAAAGTGTGACCACTTATGAATTTGTTTTATTAATAAATACATTCTAAAGTGAAATTGAGAAAAAGTGAAATGGAAAGTCTATAAATTCAGGCAATCATGTTGTGTGAACTCAAACTTGAATATTTTGCAGCTCGAGCTACGCAAAATCTTGCTTCAGTAAATTTTATACCGGAGAAGAATTTGAGGCTATTTAAAGAAATGATTAAATTAGTTGAAAGTAAAACCCGATATTTCTACAACAAGGAATTTATAGCTTAAAAACAATATCGGGACCAACGTATATTAACTTAAATGGAAAATACTCCTTGAATAAATTATGTACATGCAAAATGGATGTAGTGTATTTTTTACTTTTAAAATCCGATATTTTGACTGCACCATAATTTTAGTTACTAATTAAAGTACATGTCAACGAGCGATGTTCCAATTCATCGTACGTGCAACTTAATTGTTTATACTCAGCTCCTCCATGATCTCCCGCGATTGTGATCAATATTTGCTCTCGATTTCACTCCGAAATCGTCGCTTCTCTCGCAATGATATACTAATCTTTGATAATTACAAGACCTTGACTAAACGTACGATTCTACGTTTTACTGGAAGAGTAGTTGACCAATTGCTAACTAATCGGCGATTTATTTATATATTTAAAAAAACTAGAATTGAAGATTCGACGACTTCGAGTTCCCAGAGATTTTGGACGTTGTCCATCAGTGTTATTTTAGACATTTCTATTTGTGTTATGTATTTGTACTTGCGAGGTCCACTGTCGTAACTAATGTTTAGCAAATTTCTATAAGAGAAATCAACTTGCATTTCTATAAGTTTTTTTATAATATATTTATAATATTCTAAAGTTTATGTGAGAAATTGTTTTTCAAGACAAAAATAATAAAATAAATACCCGAGGAAAAAATGTATATATCTAATCATATCTAAGTATATCTAACTCCCCACACAGCACCGAAATATTTCAGAAAGCTCTCAAAAAGCTGTCAATGAAATATGAAACCTTTCAAAAAAATATTTCAGACATGTTTCAGATACATGAAATGTCCGCGTAGATGAGATATCATAAATGTTTCTGAAATGCTTCAGAAATATCTCTTAAATAATTCGGAAATATTTCTGAAATGCGTCGGAAATATTTCTGAAATGCTTCAGAAATATTTCTGAATGATTTCTATATTACATTTCAATATTAAATTCCAAGTTATATGTTGGATAGCTTTCAATAATATATGTTTTAGAGATTACGTACGAAATATTTCTCTGAAATGTTTCGTAATATTTCTGAAATATTTCAGTGAGAAGGATCATAAATGATTTCGATGAAACATTTCAGAAATACTCCTGAATAATTTCAATGTTACATTTCAATATTAATTTTCAAGGTATCTTTTGGAAAGCTTTCAATAACATGTGATTTTGATGAAACGTTTCAAAGATATTTCTGAATGATTTCAATTTTACATTTCAATATTAATTTCCAAGTTATCTTTCGGAAAGCTTTCTGAAACTTGTTTTCTGTGTGGGTAAGGAAGCATTTTTCGACCCATGTTTATGGGAAACTTTTTGTTCAGAATTAAATTTCCTATAAAATTTCAAAGCCTGGCCGGAACGTTCGGGGCCACCCTGTATATGGTAGTTGTATATGTGGTAGTGTGACAGTGTAAAAAGATTTTACACATCAAAGTAATGACGGAATACCACGTGATCGAAATCGAAAAGATCAAAGGTTCGACAGAGAGTGGGCATACTAGTTATACTATGGTACACCGTTCCGCTCTATGAATTTGCACTCTCAGTATAACATTTATGTTGTTAATATGTCGAGTTGATTATCCGTCACTAATACAAATAGTTGTGCCGACATCAATCTTGATAATTTTGATGCAATGTCCTTCGTCAAAACTTTAATTTTAGTAACAATTTAAAATAATATTATTAACAGAACAATGTTAATGTTATTGTTGCGTCTCCGTCGACGCGCAGCCTCTCCGTCGACACGTCACTCCGCGCACTCGCTTACTCGCGTTCCGCGCCGCGAGTTAAAGAAAGGGAGAGAGGATTAATTAAACGAACGTTCTTTATTGCGGAAATCGAAACAGGTCTGCTCTCCAGAAAAGCCCAGAGACAACTCGAAATCAATAATAAACAACAACATGTTGGTCCTTAACGACCGGTCATTCCCGCGTCGCAACTTCAGCTTGAGCGCATTCACCGGGTGGCGAATCGATGCAGGATGCAGGCATAACAGTACACACGAACAAATTACATTAGTAAAATCATGGTTTTTAAATATAGAAATTTTTATATGCAACACGTGTTGCATTAAATACGGCATTGGAACGGCAAATAAATTCGACAAGGCTTGCCACTTCTATGCTTCAGCATAGTTTGGCTATCTGGGAAGGTTCACTAAAATTTAAATGAGAAAGGTGTCCTAAGAATGTACGTACACATTGTTGTCACGACTTGAGAAAGTCGAACACTTAACAATTCGCATACAAGTCTTTTAAATATTTAAATATTTTCAAAGAATACTAGATAACAATATATGCTGAAAGATCTTGCTTGATCGATAAGACTGACTTTAAAGTAAGTTCCCTCTGAATTATGCGCATTTATCTCTATCTATACGTTTTGTAACAATGTTGTGTCTATAGTAACACGAGTAGTAAACATCATTCTTTAACACAGTCGTGTTAAAACCTTTATAACGGATTCATCTCTGTCGACGTGTCTCCAGTCCTCTTTATGTCCGGGAACATTCAGAGAAAAAATGAGACCATGATAGAAGAATGATTCTTGAACCATAATTTTAACGAGTTATACTGAAGAAGACCCGAAACAGGGTCGAAACGTTTATATTAAAGAGACAAGTTATTTCTAAATTTGTGAGAACCGTCTTCCGTTCATTTGTGGCTCACATTGGCACTTTTCCCGTTCCATACAATTTCTTTTTGAGAGCCTTCACAACATTGGAATATCATTCTTTAAATTGCAAAAATATTTTATGCGATTTAATATTTATTTCGATTCTTAGGATCATATTTCATGATGCAAAACACACGGATTGAATTATAATTGAAATTCGCTGCGTCCATTCGTAAATAAATAATCTATGAATTAATTTATTCATTGAGCAGTATTTATCACATAAACGCGTACAAGCGCCATATGATAATCGCAAAAGCGCTGCAACGTAATTCGAAGCTGTCTCAAATCCTATCCAATCACTTCCTCGGTGCATAACAATTATCAATATAAATGTTTGGAAATGATAAGTCGCTAGTAATCAAAGAAAAATAGTCAAGAGTTAAAACGACTTTTGCTGGCAAGTAATTTTTATTTAATAAATTTTAAATTACGTTTCGACCAGTAATACTGGTCCTTTTCAAGTAAAAGTTACGTTACATCCATCTATTGTTATAGCAAGAGATCTACAAATTATATAGTCACAATTAAAAACGATAAATTAAATATTAGAGAGAAGAAGAAAGTTTGACTTACGGAGATAAAACGTGTCGTGGTACATATAAATTACAGTAAATGTCAATAAATATCGTCGAAATAAATAATTATGGAGATAAAAAGTGTCATGGTACATGTAAATTATAGTAAATGTCAATAAAAATCGTCGAATAAAATATAATTTATAGATCTCTTGCTGTAACAATAGATGGATGTAACGTAACTTTTACTTGAAAAGGACCAGTACGTATTACTGGTCGAAACGTCGTAATTTAACATTTATTAAATAAAAATTACTTGCCAGCAAAAGTCGTTTTAACTCTTGACTAATTATCAATATATTGACTGCCAAGTGAATTTTATTACTCTGGAGTCTGCAGTGAAATTTTTATTATCGTGATTGTTACAATGATAAAATTGACCAAATATGATTAAAAAAGATGTATCCTCACGAATATTAAATTTAAATGCGCACGTTCACTTTATATGTATTATTATTTAGCTATCCGTGTTTTCTAAAATTCTGTATCAAATAATACTTATTTTTTACAAACATTTAAAAAATTTGGTAACACCAGAGGCTAGTGAGGTCGTCAGTGACTACCATGGCCTCACTAAAAAGACAAGGCACCGGTCAAAGCTGATCACCATGGCAGTCAACGTTAATTTTTGTTACCGTCGCAATGCGATCATGGTTTGCGAAATTGGAGTCACTTACCTACCAGTACTGGTTACCAGACCGGTACCCAACCAACAAGTACTGATATTCAAGACTCTTATCGATATGAGTGCTGCTATTGAGCAAGGGCTGCACCGCCTCTGCTGTATAGAGAAAGATAAAAGGCCGTAAACCGACCCAGACCAGAAACATGTCGCCAAATTCGTCCGCCCATTTTACCATCTTCTGGAAGAACTCTGAAACAGATAAATCACCCAGCGTGTTTTAGACGAATATATAAAGTGACGTTCTAATACGATTAAGATACGCTTTGATTAATCACTAAAAATGGAAGTCGAAAAATTTAGTCTTATTGTTAGTAAAATATTTTACTGAATTCTCCACGTTTATTTAATAAGTTACTGTTGCATAATTGACAATTATACGCAATCAGATATCTGATATTCAGATATTTACCACATATCATTTGCTGTGCGGGAATTAACAAAGATCTGTAAATCAGTGTGCGTTCGGGGGAAAGAATTGACCTAGTACCTAACTACTGTTGCTACGTGCTATACATATATGTCAATACTTCCGTGTGGTTACACGGAACAATTGATACTTTCGAGATATAAGCGGATATGACTTTTGTCTCTAGGCAATTCAACGTAAATGTGAGTGAGATTATCATTTCATGACACACAAATATATGTTGGAAATATTTAAAACATTTATTTTAATATTTTATAAATATCCAACCAATTGTATACATGGTCATATTATTGTATACGTATATGATCATGTATGATCTATTTAATCTAATTTGATATTTTTATTTTCATTGCAAGAAAGTAACTGCATAGTAACGACTCGTTACTTTTTGAGTAACTGTAACTGTAACGCGTTGCTTTTTAGAATTGGTAACTTGTAACTGTAACTAGTTACAATTTTAGGGAGGAAAACTGTAACTGTAACTAGATACTGTTATAAAGTAACTTTCCCAACCCTCTATATTTCTCTCTTGCAATTTATTTTACAATACACGTATACACCATTATAAAAGAGAGTTACACTGTCTGGCAATGTTCACTAGAAAACGATTTAATTTTAATCAATTCTATGAATTATAAAATCTCTTCCCAGTGAGAAACGATTCGTCGAAACGATGTCGAAACGACATCGAATCGACATCGACGCTGTCAAATTTGACAGTCGATTCGATATCAGTTCGATATCGATTAACGAGTCTGGTTTTTCTCGCTGGGTTCTTTTTGCAGGATCCTGTAGATAATTTATTTCACATTTGTGTGTTTAAATGTAAAAATGTTTAAAAGTGTTCGATACATAAAGCGCAAATAGAATCAATAGTTTCAACTATATTATAATAGCAGGAATAATCTAAAGTCCCTCGTGCCGTACCTTTCTTAGTGCATATCCTACTCTAAAGCCTTGTGTCCACGATCCAAGAACTTGGTCCAAGTTCTAGTTTCGAGAAATGTGTAGCCAATCAACTCGCAGCTATTCCATAAAAACTACAAGTTCATTGGCTACACATTTCTCGGAACTAGAACTTTGATCAAATTCTAGCATCGTGGACACAGGCCTTAAGGGAGAGATCCCCACTCCTTCCGCATCAAGAGCTCTCTGGAGTCTGGAGTAGCGCATGGAACAGTCAGTGATGCTCTGGAATGCAACGTGTAGTTTTGTGTGGCAACGAGTGGCGTCGATACGCGACAGTCGTTTCGGTTGGTTCCGCTGATGAGTGATTACGCACTGGAGCACGTGGCACTCGCGAATGACAAACAAAAGTAAGATAGTCTGTGCATTCATTTCAGCGGACATATTCGGCATATTCGAATGCGTATTTATCTCATTAATAACACACGATTGTGATTTTAGAATGGGAAATAGTATCGATGACAACGAGAAGGTGATATTGATTCTCCAAGAGGAGCGATATGAGGTTGAGAAACAAAAACTTACCAAGAAAAGCCGGTACTTTGCTGTGCTTCTGTTGAAACATTATTTGGAATATAATAAGAGAGAACACATTATCAATTACGACATTCCCCAGAATGTGTTCCAGGTTAGGTGACGTAAATTCTTATATGCGTTCAAGAATAATGTTGCTTTTTCAACGCGCTTCTTTCGTTGACTTTATGCAACGGATTCTTTTCTGTCAAAATTTGGCGATAAAATGCATATCCTTAATTCTTAAACAAATATATGTATATAGGAATTGCGTCGGGTTTTGTCGCTATAAGGCCTGGTTTCATCAAACGTCGCTTAACTTTAGTCTTAGTTTAATTCAAGTTTGTCTCTTTCGAAAGTAACAATTGGTTAAAGAGACAAAGAACGAATTAAACTAAGATGACGAAGAGTGGTAAATGCTCCAAAAAAGATAAAGAATCGTCGAGGGAAAGCCAATGTGAGACAATAAACGCGGAACACAGTGCGTGGTTTAAACTTGAAAAAGATATTCTTTTGTTTGAACGTTTTGACCCATGTTCGAGTCTTTTATTATAATTTTTTGTTATATTAGATCACTGAAGAAGACCCAAACAGGGGTCGAAACGTTTGAACAAAAGAATATATTTTCCAAGTTTAAACCACGCACTGTGTTCCGCGTTTATTGGCTCGCATTGGCCTTCCCTCGTCGATTCTTCAAACTACGCTTAAAGTTAAACGACGTTGGTGAAACCGAACCTCAATCACCTTATCACACCACCGTAGTAAAAATATTGTGTATTAATTTGTAGAATTTCATCAGTTGGATTCGCGGTGACAAAAATGTACTTACAAATGCGACAAGTAATGATTGCAAACTGCTCGATGATCTCTACCTCCTGTTGGAATTGAGCGTTCTGTTTCTGGTAGACAACCTAGAGAAGGATATAACGGAATTGCTTTGCCAGAAACACTTCATGGTGCCACACCACGTACTCGACACATGGCTTCTAACACAAGAATTGTGTGTCCGTGAAGTTCGAGATCTGGCCTTTGCCTTTTGCTTACAATATTTCACCAAACTTCCAGTCCATGCGATTCTTTACCTGTCGAGGGAAAACTTTGTCAAATTAATTGGAAATATTAATATACAAGCTTCAAAGTATTATTTGCGTGATATTAGAGAACAGTGGATGGGACTTCATTTTTTTGTAAGTATATCATTAAAAATAACATTTAGGATAATATATTTTTTGGGGTACGGAAATGTGTTTCAAGTTTTCCCATCTGACAGATTTGAAATAAAATATGTTTATAATTTCAAGACCATAGATATACAATAGTCCATACACACACACGTATCTGTTTTGTTTTCTCACCATTTTATTATCTGTAATACAGATAATACATGAATGAATTCTATGAATGATAAAATCTCTTCTTTTGTTGCAGGATTTCATTCCTAAAGAACTTATAGAGAATAAGTATCCAACAGTTTTACACAGTATTATATCTTGTGAATACAGTAACCAAGAACAATTCATTCATTGTTGGGATGAACGTGAATTTTTTGAACTAACCTCATTCGAATATCCCAGAGATATTCTCGAACGTTGTTGCAGCACTGGTAAAAGTCTTGAGGGAGCGCAGATTACTGGCAGAAGTACGTAATGTGTTTTTTTTATATTCTGCCTTATCTAAAACAGTATTATCTCATTGTATGTGATCTTTTTTTTTTAAGAGTACGATTTGTATCTTTGCGGTGGAGAATATGGTATCGGGTCAGGGAAGTTTAACAGAGATGTTTGGCGTTATTCTTTGATAACTAAGAAATGGTATCACGAGACAATGTAAATATCCCAACAATTAGATAAATAATAAGAGTAAATTAATAAGTGATAGAATGAATGGAATGCTCCCTGTTAAAACAACATTTACAAATGTTTCAGTATGCCAGAGCAGAGAAGGCACATGATTACCATATTATGGAATTCAAAATTACTGCTTGTGGGTGGTGTAGGACAGTATCGACAAAAGCTGCGTTCTGTTGATATTTATGATATCTATACAGGCAATGTTAATTATACATTAATATTATGTGACAAGTATACATATATAACGGTTTACCTAAGTGTACACTATCAGGGTGTACTAAAACCACCGGATATCCTTGGAATCGCAGATTCCTTAGAAAATTTCAAGAGGAAAATTCTAATAAAAAAATGTCGAGGCTATGATAGTTTTTAAATAATAAGCGATTACATTTCAAAAATGACAGGCCTAAGATTTCGCGCGCTCAGGCACGGCGACATGACGAGTGATAAAAGTGTTCCTATGTGTTTCGCGAGCGAGCGAGAACCAAAGTCACCGTTTAACGGGACAGAAAATTTTTGGGAAGACGATGATCCGGTTATTTTGAAAACTTGAGGATAAAGAGAGGCAGGAGACTAGATTGAATCTAACTGAAAATTCCAAGTTCACTCAGAATATTGGAGATCGACTAAATCGAAGGATATCGGTCTGATCAAGATGCTCATCATAGTGAACCCCTCCCTTTTATTAATAAGACGTTACACAAAGTTAACAAAAGAAATGGTTAAAGATAACGAGAGGAACAATTAATTCGAGAATGAATCGTTAAGTCTGTTGTGAAAGTTGTCACTATGCTAAAAAGGGCGATATTCGTAGGAACACCTTTATCACTTGTCGTGTCGCCGTACCTGAGCGCGCGAAATCTCAGGCCTGTCATTTGTGAAATGTAATCGCTTATTATTTAAAAACTATTATAGCCTCGACATTTTTCCATTAGAATTTTTGTCTTGAAAGTTTCTAGAGAATTTATGATTATTAAAAGGATATCCGGTGGTTTTAGTACACCCTGTATAACAAATTTAAAGAGATTAGTATATATTTTTTATACAGATTATATGTCATAGAATTACTTCTTATAATTGCCCTTTATGAATTTAATGTTGATTCATGTTTAAATCATGTTTAAAATCATATTTAAAATGATCTCTTATCAATTATTTTGTTATAGTAATATTTTGGTTTTGCTTTTGAACAATGTATAGGTGTGTGGACATTAGGTTCTGAGGTACCTGTGCAATTTACCAGTGTTCCTGAACATCTCATTTATAAGGATATGTTAATTATATATCAACATTTACCTACTGTCTATGTCTATTTTGCTGATGTGAATGTATGGGAAGTGAAATGTTCGACATTTCCAAAAATAGATTTTACTTCAGCCGAAGTGTATATAATGATACCTACTAATTCATGTTACATTGGTAAATATTATAATTCATATACTAGGTGGATGTGAAAGAACCTTAATTAAGGTTCACATTAATGTTTTGCACAATATGTTTTGCAGATATTACTGACCAAGATGAAATAGCTTTAAAAACTATCACGGATACATGTGGTGTACAAAATTGTAATGATGTACTAATCGACAGCATTATTCCTATCGACACTGATAGCAGAAAACCAAAGAAGAAATTCTCAGATTCCCAGTTACGTTATACATTTCATGCACAATGCTCGACAAGGACAAATAACTTCGACCTAATTCCATTCTTCAGCCACGATAAAGACAAACCAACTGTAGTAATATGTAGAGAACACTATAAGGGTCCTGAGGCACAAGTGTTACATTTGTTACACTTTCATAGTATACCCATCAAAAATCCAAGTAAGTTCCGTTCTTTGATTTTCACCAAATCTTCCAAAACATTTTTTAATCTACTTCATCCAGCTTACTTATACACAACAAGCCTGGGTTTTTGATAGAAATATTTAGTTATTCGATATATAGTATAATCTCGCTAATCCAGCCCTTCGCTTATTCGACACGTCCAGTAATTCAGTATTACACGAGCTTCCGCGGCTTCCTACGCGGTGTCTACAATGAGATGTTAAGACGTGTAAAATTTTGAGTAAGAAATTGACTCAGAGTGAGTCGAATAATCGAATCGCTTTCGGAGCAAAATGACCAATTTTAAATATAAAACTATTTTTTAAACAACAAACTGTTTTGTACCAAATATTAATATACAACAATATACATAATTATGTATTATATAACGATTTCATGTATTATTGTATTTATATCCCATACATTCCAGTTATCCGGCACTATCTGGTATCTAATAGAATTAATGAGATTATACTTTAATATACTTAATAATTGTAAAAACTTTGCATATACAAATACTTTTCATCTATGTAATTTTATGTAAAATAAATTTTCTGTTGTCTATCTTCTCTTCTTCATTGGATTACAATACCCAAATCGAGCGTTTTTTAAAAGGCACTATGTGTGCCGAGACTTACTCTTTGTTCTCTTACAAAAATTCTAGTGTCCATACATGCGGAAATAAATCCAAGCCTTACTTACCAATAACTGCTTTAGCATTGAATTTTCTAGCATCCCATTATGCTTGTTATACTAAAGTTACATTAAATATGTATATATTTTCCTCAATATTTATATGCCGATTATTTTCATTATTCAATATACAAAAGCATACTATATTCCTTTGCTTATCGAGATGTTCGGTACAAACCTAACTCGGGGATAAATATGGAAAAATTAATAGTAATTCCACTTATAACCTATGTTAATAACATAGAAAGACATAACAAGCTAGACTCCATTTTTTTAATTATACGTTTTATTTTATCGTAAATTTTCTGACGGAAGCAGTCTTCAAACAAGTAAAACACGACAGTGCGTACCATTAATATGGAATAGGAGGGCACATCGCGCTAGTATCGCGTAAAACCTTGCATACTCGTTCTAACGCCATCGACGGATTTTCCCGGCGAGAATTTTAGATGGTAATATTAAAAACGTATGTTCGGATGTTCGAGGATGCTGGCAGTCTTGCCGGAAAGATCGCGTTCGCGGGCGTTCGACATTCAACGAGATACTCGTTTACTTCCTTCTCTTCCTTTTTTTTTCGGATGCTACCGCGATGCGCCCGTACGTAAGTAGCTGCGTGTACTCGAGGTGTGTGTCGAGTCGTGTAATACAACAAAGCCGAATATTTTAGCGTAGTAAGTTGCGCGTGCTATCCGTAATGCTTGTGTGCGGCGACGGCGAATTCTCGTCGTGACAGCGAGCCGCGCGCATCGTGCGGCATCATGACAAACACACAGGAAGAAAATACAGCGTTTCCAGAATAATTTACATATACAGAGTACGCGAGAGAGAAAGTGATTAATATTAGTCTTCCAGTTCTCTCTTCCTTTCCGTACAGGGACGTCATATACTCTAAAAACGTTCGCTGCAGCCGAGCCGCTCCGGCTCGACCCTTCGCTCGTATCGCATGCATTCCGGGTTAAATTTCGCGAAAGCAGAAAGGCCAGAGTTGTGGCAGGCGCGGTAACAATCGGCCGGAGATTGTTGCGGCATCTGCGAGAGCAGGGAGGACACACTATTTTTGGAGAACATGTTCGGGCAAGCAAATCCGTCCAAGTGTCCTTTAATATTCGCGAAGGGACCCGTATTCTCCGCGAAGAATGTATTAGAGATGTTTTCCGATTCGGTGGTCGACCGCGAGGATAATCGACGTGTAACCCGGTATCAAGATTCAATTTCACAGCTCGCCGGGACTGACGACATTGAGGGCGAACGCCGAGTTTGTCTCGCCCTTTTGGCCGATCGCACGCGCTAGGTATTGACCAACGTCGCTGGCCGTGCACGTCTTAATGCCAAACTCGAAGGATGTGCTGCCGTCCGAGCTGAAGTGGTATCTGCTGCTCGTCTCGGGGATCGCCTTGCCATCCTTCAGCCAAGTCACTAAAAAACATTATTAGCTGCAGTTTGGTCGCTGCTTAAACGAGTGTAGAAACGGAACGGAGGAACAAAATTATAAAATAATTATTTCATTGTTTAAATTACTGAATTATTATTACCATTAATTTATTGCTACTTAATTAAATTACTAATATTACTTAGATACCTTTCAAAGGCGCGGTATCAGTCTTGCACGTGAAAGTAACCGACTCGCCTTCACTCACTGTTGCAGACTGTGGGAATGTCGCGAACGCTGGGCTTTTCGGCTCTTCATTTGGAGCTGGAAGAAATATGGAAGGGATGGAAATTAAGATTCTGTAAAGAAAACATTTCTACGTATAAAATTAAAACGATTGAAATAACTTCCTTACCGAGTACGCTTAACGTGCACGACGAGTAGCTCTCTCCTGCGTCGTTGAAAGCTTCGCACGTGTAAGTGCCGGAGTCCTCTGGGAATATCTCGGCGATGTTTAGCTTGTAGATGTTAGCCTCGCTAGTGTACTGGAAGTCCTTGCTGGGTTTGATTTCCTTGTTGTTGTGCAGCCACACCACGTCGAACTTCTTCGCGCCGATTATTCGGCAGCTGAGAGTCACAGCCTCGCCGTCTTTCACGTACTTGCTCGTTAAGTGGTCGACGATCTTCGGCGATTTGTCGTCGCTCTGCTTCTTCCTAGCAGCGTTCTCCACAGCTGAAAAACGAAATTGAGCTCAGCGTCATATGAATTTTCATATTTATCTTCTAAAAATCAAGATGGTAAAAAAGAGTAAAAGTTAAAATAAAATCTAATCTTCGCTTAAAGCAGACTGAAATATATTAAACTGAGTTAATATCGTTCGATTAACATCAATAAGATATGGATGTTCTTACGTTTTACAGTTAGCTTGCACGATGTTGTGTTGCTGCCAATGCTGTTTGTCGCGAGACAGGAGTATTCGCCTTCGTCCTCGGGGAATACCTCGTTGATCGTGAGAGTGGCCACTCCGTTCTTATATTTGAGATCGACGATCTCCGACGAGCTCAGCATCTACAAGAGAATTTTATCGTATGTATGAATAGCTACAAATAGATGTTTTTTCGCACGAGATTCCAATGCACTTCTAAAAACAATTATAACTATCTTTTTCTGTTACTTTGAATTGAATTGCACTTCATAATTCTATACATCAATTTATTTTGTATTGGATTTTAATTATTGCAAATGGATTTCAAACTTATATGCCTACCTTGCCGTCTTTACTCCAAGTAATTTGCGGCTCCGGATCGCCGTCGACTTTAGCCGTGAGTTCAAGATGTTCACCATCATTGATCGTGAGATTCTTCAGTTTCTGAGTGAATTGCGGTGGTCTCATTGAGTCGTCCGAGGGTTCTTCAATTCATGTTAGAATTCAATGTTAATTATATATAATAAATAGTCATTTAGCTATAAAGTATAATAGCTTCAAAATATAACATATTAAAACGATACGCTTACGAATGAGTTCTTTCGTAGTACTCCTGGATCGAGATGGACTACCAGTAGAGTCGAGCTTCGAACCGTATTTCTTTATACTTCGTTTATCAGAATCGTTGATTTTAACACTGGAGCTATCCTACAATCACATCCAAAAATTATTTGCAACACTATTTTGGTTTTACTCAAATAATCTTTTTTTTTAAATATTACAAACAGAATATTCGTGCTTGATATATTTCTGTACTTTTGCAAATTTAAATATCTTAATATTAATGCTCTTCTTTATACACACATGTATGTATATTTCCTAATTTTATATAAAATTTATACAAAATATTCATAAAGAAAGAAAAAACGCATGATACAGTACATTTTCTATAATTTCTAAGATTTGATTAACAAATATTTTATATCATTCCACATACTTTGTGTGAGGAAGAAGTTGTGGAATTGTGTTTGCCATTGTATGAAGAAGTGGAGCTTGATTGGCCTTGAGAGGAATTGTATTTGTGAATTGTCACGATCGGCGGTGGTGCCGGTTTCAATGGTTGCTCGATGAACCTTCGATCTTAAAGCAAAATCACTTGTTATGCAACAACGACACAATATGTTCACAATTATGTAATCTCATCATAAAACTCACAAGGCTTTTAATTAAAAAATAAGCTATAAAAACTAAAAAATAAATGGAAATAAGCCGAACATAAAGCATGTATACAGGAAACGAATAGTTACATAATAAACCAAGGGAATCGTTACATTTTAAATAAATTTAGATAAACATTATTTTATTTGACTGAACCATATAAAAAGATTATGCACTATTTCGTATACAGATAATGTGATAGCTGATCTTATATGTATATTTATAAAAAGCATTAATGAAAAGCTTGACAAAGACAAAATATCTATCGTTTAATGTTTTTAATAACAGAGGAAAAGGGTAGCAAACAGGGTACACTCTTAAACAGTTCTACCTCCGGAATGTAGGAGGTCGTGCACTAATTTTACTTGCTCCTCTGTTTCTCCAGTGCCTACAAACAAACGCTCAATGAGGTCTGTTTCGTTAGCAAATATAGTATAAATTATACAGAGAATATTATCAACCTTATTAAATAAATTGAAGTTTTTTTCGGAATATGCAAATAAATCCTAATTAAATAAGATCTATTTTAATTACTCAAAATAAACTTTGTCATTTATAAAATCGAATCACTTTTGTTCTTACTCAATTGATTTGATTGTATACACTATACAGTAATGTCTCTCATTTTTTAAAACAATTTATCTAAAAGTATCAATTGTATTTTAGTTTTAAGAATTATTTTAAATTATTCGCTTTACAATAAATAGATGTAATTATTGCATTTAACTCCGTGAAATAATCTCTCCTTCAATTTCAAACAACTTTTATTCAATATTTAGTGACTTATTCATCTCGTACCTTCTACGATGACCACACAACTAGTTTCGTCTTTGCCGTGCTTGTTGGTAGCCACACAACGATATTTGCCGCTGTCCTCCGGTTTGCAGTCAACGATCTCCATCGTGACGACACCGTCGGCGTTGCTCATAGGATAATTGTACTTGGACAATTCCTCTCTGTCCTTATACCATTTCACAGTGGGCGGTGGGTTGCCGCTCAGACAGCAGAGCAGCTTGCAAGTTTGTCTGATCTGGATGACACGTGGTCGTAGCAGGAAAGTGAAGTTCGGCGCTGACTCGATCATCTCTAGCCACACGTTGTAACCAAGTGGTTCTCGTTTGCGCACAGGCTGCAGCTCGGGTCTATACTTCGGAATCTCTCTCGGCAATGCTGAAAGAACGAAAGGCTCATATATACAGAAATATTTATTTCTTAGATTTGTAAATCAAGTAGAAACAAAAACATTGATCAATATTTATAGCATCAATTAAACAGCCTAAGAATAATTAAATAATTCGAAATATAAAAAGTGTTCATTTAAAAGCGCTCAAAATTAATACACTTGCTAAATATCAGTTAAGTATAAATTTAATTACAGCTATTTTTAAATATTTAAGAATGTTACGAGTATTAAACTACGTTAAAAGTTACAAGTTTTCTCCGAGAATTACGTAATCACAAACGTGTATAAAATTCTGAAACGCTTACGTTGTACATTAAGGAAAACGACTTCCTCACGGTAGCCATAATGATTCTCCGCGCGTATAATATACTCTCCTCTGTCTTCCAACTTGACTCTGTTAATAATAAAGGTGTAATCGTCGCCGTGGTACCGCTTCATGAATTTGACGGATTGTCGTAGCTCCTGATTGTTATGTGACCAAGACAAGGTCGGTGCTGCAATCGCGATCACGCGACAGGTGAATTTCACGCTCTGTCCTTCGTAGGTAAACGCGCTTTGCGGCTTGATGACAAATCTGGGCGCTGCTTGTCGGCGATCTGTAAAAGTATAATTAATTTAAGCATTACACATTTGCAACTTTTTAATTATCTTCTGTATTCATCAAATATTGATCTCAAGTACCTGGTATTAGTATATTTAAATAAAACACATATACACTTTTAAAGGATGCTTAAAAACCTAGACATAATTAAAACTCCTCTGTTGTTTTAACGCGCTTAATTAAATAATATTTTTATCACATTAGAGTCAACAATCTGTTCGTAGGTAGTTAAATTTCTTCGCGTTCTTCGAGATAGATGATATCTCATATTTTTTCCAAATTAATTATGTATTACTCACCGAAGCAAGAGTCGTAAATCCTGTATTTGTCGATTAAAAGTTTTCTGAGCGATGAGTATTCGGCTAGGCGGCCGATGGGAAGGACATATTTGTCCCAGTTCTCGTACTTGGCGCGTAATCTATCTCTGATGCTGAGGTAACGACTGTTGGCGATTGGATTGGTCCACTTGCTATGGTCACCGGTCAACCATGGATGAAGGAGACACTCGTGTGCAGTCATGCGCTTTCTGAAAAACAAGAATTACATTAATGTAAACGAAATAATAATACAGAACACTAGAGAGAAGAGAGGAAAGATCTGTGAAGGGAACAGTAGAACGTACTCTTTGTTTTTGACGAGTAGTCGCCTGATGAAATCTTTGCCCTCCTCGGAAACATCGCGGAATGCCTCCTCGTCGAAGTCCCAGTCGCATGCCTTCACGTTTTTCAGGGTCTCAATGTCGTTGTCACCGGCGAACGGCGAAAGTCCGCTCAATCTGCGCAAACAATACACGTTGGTCGATAGAGTTTCTTCTTTTTTTAAAAATAATGTTTTGCACTTGTTATAATTAAGAAGTCAAAAAATCTACTTACAGAACGTAAGCCAGTACACCGCAAGCCCACATATCGGTGTAAAAGCCTACCGGCTCGCGTTCGACAATCTCGGGTGCGGCAAACTCGGCTGTGCCCGTACTGATCTTCACTACTTCGTTCGGATCGAGTTTGGTAGCCAGACCGAAGTCGATCAGTTTCACATTCGTGCTGTTGCGAGTTTGGCACATAATGTTCTCGGGCTTAATGTCTGAAGACAGTCGTATGTTACATGATTAAGATGATACATTCAGCTGTGCTCAAATTACCTTATAAATGACATTCAAAAATAAAAATGTAATGCAATTTAAATGTAAAAGTAAAAACGGATATAAACCGAAGTAAATACAAATAAACCTAAAATAAAACTAAATTTTTGCAGCTGCAAGTCTAAATTCACGACTAACAATCGAATTAACGGTTTTGTTTATTTAATAGAAATTCTTAAATGTAAATTTTGAAAGAACTTGGATTTTTAATTTTCTAATATTATCGTTACAAAGAGTATTGTGATAAATTCAGTTTTATTCTATTGGTATTGAACGAGGATAAACAAATAATAATTTATGTTTAAAATTCATAGTTAACTTCTAAAAGAATCTCCTTTTCAAGTACAGACTTAAATTTCTATAAAATTAAATTAAACCTTAGATCGATAAATAAAATCTTCGTAACAATTTCCATGTTATAATATGAAAAAATCATTAAAATATCAATGTCTTACCGAGGTGGATGATGTTCTTCTCGTGCATATGCTTAACACCCTCGCAGATCTGCCTCATGTAATTGATAACTTCCGCCTCGGACATGGTGTAACCCTCGGCCGTGATCCTCTCGAATAGTTCACCGCCGGACAGGCTGACGAGACAAATGATCGAGATCAAGGATAACGCAATCCCGCCGTCTAATTGAATAGCAAACGACTCTTCTGTTCAAAATGGATACTTACAACTCGAAGATCAGCACCATCTCGTCGTCATCTTCAAAGGCGTCGTGCAGGTTGATCAGCTTGGGATGATGCAGCTGATTCATGATGTCGATCTCCTTCCTGATCAACTCCTTCTCCATCACGTGCGACACTGGGATAAACTTGGCGGCGAAGAAGTTACCGGTGGCCCGCTCACGGCAGCGATGCACCACACCGAACGCGCCCGTGCCAATCTCCTCCAGGATGTCGTACTTGTCGTAAACCGACGTGTGCTTAATTTCAACCGGTTGCGGAACATACTTGCTGTACACGTCGAACACAAACTGATCGTAGTCGCGCGGCTTCTCGTCCTCGCGGCCGCGTATCTTCTTGCCGCTCGCGTCCACTTCGTACTCCTTCTTCTTGAATTCGCGCTTGATCACACCCTTCGTAGTGATCAGCGGCGTTACCTCGCTCGGGTCGGAACGGCCGTAGATGTTCTCGGCGCACACCCGGAAGTCGTACTGTTTCCCCGGGCTGAGACCGGTCACTGCGAGCGTACAGAAACGGGTGTTGCCGGCGCGGATCCAGCTGCTCATCGGATGCTCGCGTTTCTCCACCACGTAGTTGGTGATGTTGCTACCACCGTCCCAAACCGGTGGCTTCCAGCTGACGGCCAGCGAGTCGTGGCCAATGTTATCCACCTGCGGGAATCTGGGCGGGTCTGGGCGATCGCTGATCTGGATCTTGATGATGGCAGTATCCTGACCGAGATCGTTCTCGGCGGAGATGCGATACGGACCGGAGTCCATGCGGCTGCCGTCGCGTATCGTCAGCACGGCGTGTCGCTCCTTTACCTCGACGGAGTAATGTCCGCCGGATTCGATCACCTCGCCCTCGCGCACCCACGTGATCTTCGGCTTCGGGTAGCCGGTGAACGGAATCTTGATGACGACGTTCACGCCCTTGTCGAAGAAGGCAGTGTCGCGGAAACGCGGCGGTACGTTCAGCTTCGGCGGCGTCTTGATGAAGAGCTCGCCCTTGGTAGATTTTACACCGCATTTATTCGCCGCGCGGCAGAAATACTCGTCAGCGTCCTCGCCGAACACGTCGTGAATGATGAGATTGTGGGTATCACCCTCGGAGTAGATGTTGTAGCGGCTACCGCTCACGATCTCGCGGGCGCCCTTGAACCACGTGATGTTTGGCTTCGGCGTGCCGATAATCTTGCATTGGAAGTGAGCGTTGTGATTCTGGACGCAATTCACCTGATCGAGAAAATGAGAAGCCAATTACGTCTTTTGAATTAAATCGCATTCTTGCATTATTTTAAGTTCCAGTTATAATAATTACTTATGATCAAAGTGTACTTGAAGAAATACATACCTTCTGGAGTGGTTGGATAATCTCCGGCGGCTTCGCCGCTTGTGGATCGACAATCTTCACGGAGGTCGAGGCGCTTGATTCAGGACTGAGTCCTGCGACGTTTTGAGCAAATACCCGGAACTCGTATTGCCTTCCTTCGATTAAGTTGCTGATATTGATCTGTGTCGGCAGGCAGATGCTGACGTTCACGCGCTGCCACGCTTGACTGCCGACCTCTCTCTTATCGATCCAGTAACCCTGGATCTTAGCACCGCCATCCGACTCTGGTTTCTCCCATGAAAGATTGACAAAGTCGCCACCCACCTCGATGACTTTGGGCGTACCGGGCGGTCCCGGTGGATCAAACGGCGCCTTGGCCTTGATCGGGTTGGTGCCCTCCAATGGCGGGCCCATACCGTTGTCGTTGGCGGCCATGACCCGGAAGAGATATTCTTGACCCTCGGTGAGACCCTGCACGACGAAGGTGGTGTCTTTGCAGAAGGACGATACGATAATCCAGTGCGTGTGGCTGACGTCGCGACGTTCCACCACGTAGTGAGTGACCCGGAGACCGCCGTCGTATTTGGGCGGATGCCAGGACAAGGTACACGTGTGCTTGTCAATATCGGAAACATCAAGTGGTCCGGTCGGCGGTCCGGGCAGTCCGGTGATGTACACGTTGAAAGATGCGCTAACGCTGCCGCTGTTATTCGAAATAGATAGATCATAAGTGCCGGCGTCATCTTTCTGGATATCCTTGATGAAGATAATGAGATATTCGTCGAACACGGTGTATTTGATGTGCGAGGTCTCCACGATCTGGCGACCGTCCTTCTTCAAAGTCACCTCCATCGGCTGATCGCCGCTGTAGTAGATCTTGATCTTCGTGTTGTCGCCCTCCGGCAGATAGAGATCTCCCGGCATGCGCTCGATGCGCGGCGGCGTGCCGATCTTCAATCTGCACGTGGTCGCGGCGACGCCGAGCGGATTCGAAATCTGGCAACTGTAGTCACCGTTGTCTGCGTCCCACACCTCGGATATCACCAATCTGTAGATGCCGTTTATCGCCTCCGCGCGGAAGCGGCCACCTAGGGTGATCTCGCGACCGTTCTTCAGCCACCTGAACAAGTGAAATTATAGTAATATTAGACCAAAGTTAATAATGTATATAACAATGTATTATTTTTTAACAATAATAAAACAGATTAGAAAAGAAACAAATCTCAGATAATCCATTTAATTGTTACGACACTCAGTTCTCATTTTATTTTAATTCGAATGAAATAAATCATATCTAACAGTAAAAAGACGAGTAATGTGAAAGTAAATATCAAATAAATGCTATTTTTGCTAACCTGGCGGTCGGCAACGGTTTACCCGTGGCCTCGCATTCAAGGACAAGGGTCTTGCCAAGCGGTATGATCTGACTGATAGGCAAGTTCCTGATGAACTCCGGTTTCTCGCCACCCTCAACTTCACAGATTTTCACCGGTGTGGTGCACGAGCTTGGCTCGGATCTGCCAGCCGCGTTCACCGCAAAGATCCTGAACTCATAGTCGCCCCGCTCGATCAAATGCATGACCGTATACTCGGTATCGACGACATTGTACTCGTTGCACTTGGACCATATCGCGCTGCCCACCTCGCGCTTCTCGATCACGTAGCCAGTAATTCTGCTACCGCCATCGGACACGGGCGGTTCCCATCGTAGATCAACGTAGTTTTTGCCGACCTTGGTGACCTGCGGCGTGCCAGGTGGCGACGGCACGTTGAACTTGCTCTTGAGTTTAAACGGAGCGGACGGCGGACTCGGCTTGCTGAAACCGGCTGCGTTCTTCGCGCGGATCCTGAACTCGTACTCATGACCGCTCATCAAGCCATAGCACACGTATGTGGTATCTTTGAAAAGATAGTCGTTTGCCACGCGCCATTGCTTATCCTCAGCTGGATCACGGAATTCGATCTTGTAGCCCTGTAATTGATATTTCATATTAATATAATATAAAATGTACAATATATTGAAAACATATTAACCTCGGAAGACAATTTAAGATGAATTTCAAATTTAAAAATTCACCTGTGTCGACTATCTATGAATAATATGCAAAGTATGAAATATTAATAATATTCATAGTTTGTAGAAAAGCATTTTCTTTTTTTTACATACCTGGATACGAGAACCACCATCGGATAATGGTCTTGTCCATACTACTGTGGCGTTTGAAGTATCCCAATCGATGACTCGCGGCTGTCCGGGTGGATCCGGTACCGTGAACGGGAACTTGGCTGTTATCGGCTCGTCGGCTTGTAGCGGGTCAGATATGCCATACTGATTCTCCGCTCTTACGCGGAAGTTGTAAGTGCGATTCGGTTCTAGACCGATCACATCGTAATGCGTGCTCCTGGCGAAGCTGCTGAGCTTGACCCAGAACTGAAAGAAATCCGCAAAAGTGATGTAGATATCGACATCCGTCCAATGTTGCATTTTATGTTGCAAGGAAGAAGTAATACTATGTTTTTATCATTATTTAACACTTCTTAAACTAAAAAAACGTACGCCAGCTGGATCCAATTTCTCAACGATGTAATTTGTGATTGGTGAACCACCATCGTCGAAAGGCGGTTTCCACGTCAGCGTGCAGGTTTCCGGAGTGATGTCGGAGATGTCCAAAGGCGCCAAAGGTGGCGATGGTTTGTCTAAAAAGAAAATTTATCTTGTAGTTTAACTCGCATATGCTTTTAAAACTAATGAGTTCCGTTTAAAATAATTTTTCAAAGTCACTATTTTACTATGTCCGAACACGATTGTCGAGAATTAAAATCTAAAACAATAATTACTTGAGAATTACAGAAAAATAGTAAAAATAGTAAAAAATTTACCGACAACGAGGACCTTGCACGAAGCGGAGTCCGTGCCGACGGTGTTCGTTAGATATATCGTGTATGTGCCGGTGTCCGATCTCTTTGCCTTCTTGTTGATAAACTGTGAGGCCACATCGGTCGTCTCGAACTTGATCCTCTCTCCAGTGAGAACCTCCTCGCCATTGATAGACCATTTCGGTTTCGGTTTAGGGTTTGCCGTATACGGCACCGTGATGGTGAACGGTTCTCCAGCAATCACAGTCATATCGCGGATGCTGAGGTCGCTCGTGATTTTCGGTGGGACTGTAACAAAACGATTGACATGTTGAACTATATATATCCAAATTTCATCAACTTATGAAGAATTACAATTAATAATTACAAAATTAATTAGACGAAGAAACTCTAAAAATATTTTCTTTAAGTAAATTAACATATATCTACAATGCTAGTTAATTAAAAATATTAAATTAAAAAATTATTACTTGTATATTATATTTCAATTAATATTTTTAAACTGTATGAATTTAATTCTATCGATAATTAAAATTCTTATCGTACAAACAAATTTTAATTATATACACATAATAACTTTAACACGCATTTTCACAATATTTTTTCCTTATAAAATAAAATACGTTTAAGTGAGATATATTTACATGGTGCAGCGCTGGCACGAATAATGTCGGAGTTGGAGCTCCACGGTCCACGACCGGCGGCATTTTCCGCAGCTACGCGGAACTCGTAATCGTGATTTTCGATCAGTCCAGTAACTCTATGAGATCAATGAAAAGATATGTTAATATCTCATTAAGACAAAAGACGCTTTTTGAGATCATGCAATAGTATAGATCGCTCACTTATAAGTAGTGTCGTGGACCAGAGCCGGGGTGGCTTTGACCCATTTGTCTTCGTTCAAGAGACGTTTCTCGATAACATATCCGAGGATCGGCGAGCCGCCGTCGTTACGAGGTTTGGTCCAAGTAATGGTAATGCTATCCTCGGTGGTCTCTACACCGCGAGGTGTGCCAGGTGCACCCGGCGGATCGAACGGATGTCGCGCCTTGATCGGATCGATTGTTGTTGCTGGATCCGACGTGCCGTACTGATTCTCTGCCATTACTCGGAATTCGTAGACTTGACCAACCGTCAGGTTTCTGACCCGCACAAACGGTGTCGTAATGTAACTGCTTACCTGCAAGTTTCCTTCCTTTAGAATCTCTGGTATAATTTTCTAATTAACTTCTACGCTATAGTATTCCTAAGTAACTCTCCCTTTCTTTCTATCCAGTGATGATGATCTTGATATAATATTTCTTACTTTGGACCACGTGGCGGCCTTCGGTTCCTTCTTCTCGATCACGTAGTTAGTGATATCAGCACCGCCGTTGTCCTTGGGCGGGTTCCAGAAGAGAGTGAGGGCGTCGCCGCCGAATTCATCCGCGCGGAGATTTTGAGGTGGGCTTGGACGATCCAAGACCTTGACATTAACAGTCGCCGTGTCAAAGCCGGACGGGTTGCGCAGCTGGAGTCTGTACTGCCCTCCGTCCGAACGTTTCGCATTCTTCACTACCAGGCTGCAGCAAAAGATTAATCAATATAATAACTGTGATATCATTGTTATCTACTATCAATAACTATCACAACACACGATAATGTAAATTAATAAAACATTTCTTATTTTATTCTCGTAGTCCCAAAAGTTTGTAATAATTTCGAAAGCACATACCTGGCGAAATCATCGGCCAATTGTTGATGCACACGAGGATCGGTTTCATCTTTAACAACGTCATTGGCGAACCACGTGGCGGTTGGTTTGGGGAAGCCAATATAAGGCACGTGAATAGAGAAGTCCTCGCCGGCGCGAACGGTGATGTCGCGAACTCCACCGAGATCCATGACCGGTTTGTTGGGTTGCTCCTCGATGACAATCGGGTTGCTAGGTCGGCTTGGATCGCTACTGCCGACATCGTTCACGGCAAACACCCTAAAGAGATATTCCTCACCCTCCTTCAACTTCGGCACAGTGTATACGTTGCTCGGTATAGGCTCGCCGTTTACGTCTGACCAGTCATCATCACCCTTGGCCTTCTTCTGGAGGATGTATCCTCGAATCTTCGAGCCGCCGTCGCTTCGCGGTGGTCGCCAGCTCAGAGTCACCGAATCCTTGGTGATCCTATCCGCCTTGGGCGGCTCAGGCGCGTCAGGACGCACTGCAATATCAATGGCAATATAATTAAATATTATAAATTACATAATAATTAAAGCTAATAATTATTGAATAATTGTAAATTAAATTTGGAATTAATATTCTAGAGCACAAAGAATTATTTGTTATAATACGATCGATTGAAGTACACTTACGACGTTGATGCCCGGCTATAATCGGTTCAGTGGGCTTGCTGGGTTTACCAGGTCCAGCCTCGTTGACAGCGATTACTCTAAACTCGTACCGCGAGCCCTCATGAAGGTCCTGCACGGTGAACGTTGTGTTCGGCGTCGGATAGTTGTTGACCTTTAACCATTCGCCACCACGTTCGCGTCTCTCCACATAATAACCTGAACAAAATAAAGTAAATAGTGTGTAGTCACATGTAAAATACAATAATAAATGTTAACAGTTTTTATTTAAAAAATAGAAAAATTAAAACTATGATCATATTTAAATTTTTAATAATTTCAAATCAAGTTCTTTAAATCATAGTTTTAATACATATAATTTAATATGATATAATGTTAGATAATAAAACATTAATCTTTTTGATTCTATAAAAAAGCAAATAATTCTAAAATAATGTATTATGTTAATTTACCAGTGATAGGTTTTCCTCCAGTATTGAGAGGCGGATTCCATGCAAGACTGCAGCTGTTAGGAGTATAACCAAGGATTTCGGGCGTGCTTGGTGCATCCGGCGGATCATATGGACTCTTGGCGACCACAGGTTTGCCTTCCAAAGGTTCTGATACACCATACATGTTCTCAGCACGGACTCTGAAGACATACTTTTTGCCTTCGGTCAAGCCCTTTGCCGTAAAGTTCGTCCTGGGGACGTATCCAGGCACTTGTCGCCAATTGTCAGAACCGTAATCCGAAACCTCGACGATGTAGTTTGTGATGTCGGATCCACCGTTGTCCGCCGGTGGATTCCAGGACAGGCCAACGGATTCTTGCGTCGTGCCGGTGTATTGCAGGGGACCTTGAGGTGGTCCAGGTTTGTCCACAACAATCACTTCGATGTCAGCTGAGTCTCTTCCATGATCGTTTGTCGCGGTCACTGTGTACATGCCACCGTCATCTCGGACAGACTTCTCAATCAATAGCTGCGTTCGATCGCTTTTGGTCTCAGTCTGAAAATATAATAAAAATGAGAAAATATATAGGTACAATAATGAAAAAGACAATTATAGACTAAAATATACAGACTAACAAAGACTAATTGGAAGAAGAATATACAAAAATAAGAATTAAAAGTGACTCTACAAAATGAGAAATAAAATGTAAAATTGATGCTCCATTAAGAAAAAAATTGAAAAATATAAATAATATTCTGTTAAAAGTGTAATGAAATTCTTATTAAAAATTCTTTACAACAAATAATAAAACTTATTTAATAATTTCATTTCATTCATAAAATCCAATTAAAATAATTAACCTAATAGAAAACGTTATTTACTTTATCTTATCTTTATCTTTAATCCAATCCCAAAAACAAATAGAAAGATAAACTTACAGTTAGGCGAAGAGTTTCCATGAGTGATTTTCCATCCTTGATCCATTCGATCTTCGGCGTGGGCGCACCGGACAACGGTATGTTGACGTTGATCGGTTCCCCAGCGCGGACCTTGATTTTGCGTCCGATCAGAGCGTCCAGATTAAGCTTCGGCTTCTCCTTCATGGGTTTAGCTGTGAATACGGACGAGGTCTCGCTCGGTTTTCCAGCGCCTGCGGCGTTTATGGCTGACACGCGATATTCATACTGATGACCCTCAGTCACATGATCGTCGTAGTACTCTGGATATTTGACGGGTTCTTTGGTTTGCTTTATCCAACGACCTGTAGCGCGATCACGACGCTCCACGTCGTAACCGATGATCTTGGAGCCGCCGTTACTAATAGGCGGAGTCCATTTGATCTTGATGTGATCTTTGTCAGCGTCCACGCATTCCGGCTTACCAGGTTGTCCAGGAACTACGAATTGGTTCTTGGCAACAACAGATCGATCGGTAGTCAATGGCTCGGAGCGACCCTGAAGATTTTCCGCGGACACACGGAATTCATACGTGGTTCCCTCGAGCAATCGTGGCACAGTCGCATGATTATACTTGGGATTCACGTGAGTAACAGCTGGTACCCAACCGCCACCATGCGTGAGATCGCGTTTTTCAATAACATACCCAGTAAGTTCACTGCCTCCATTATCCTTGGGTGGCTTCCACGAGAGCGTGACGGATTGGCTAGTGATTTCCTCGTATTGTAAAGGACCTTCCGGTGGTCCAGGTTTGTCCAGAACAGTCATTTGGAAGCTGCCCTCGTCTATGCCGCTGCTGTTCTTCAGCAATAGATGGTACAATCCCGAATCGGACCTCTTAGCGTTGACAATGTGCACGATTGTGTGATAACCGATTGATGTAATCGTCGTCCTGTCGTTGGAAGTCAATTCGTTGCTTCCTACACTCCATGTTGCCTCTGGCGTCGGTTCGCCGATGAAGTCGATATCCACGTGGAAGATGAGTCCAGCCTTGATTCGAACGTCCTGCAACGGCGTCTTGATCTTTGGAGCCAGGTAACGAGGTTTGGCAGTGACAAGATCGCTGGGTTCCGACGGTTCGGATTGACCGGCGGCGTTGACAGCGATCACACGGAACTCGTACTCCTGACCTTCTGTCAGGTCTGGAACGGTCGTGCTGTTTTGACCGGCCGGCACGTGCACTGCATTCACCCAGTAAGGGCTGCCTTTTTCCTTCTTCTGAACGATGTAACCCGTAATCGGCGATCCGCCGTCGTTCTTCGGCACTGGCCATTGCAGATCCACATGGTCCTTGTCCCAGTCCGTGATCTGTGGTTTACCAGGCGCATCCGGTTCATCTGAAAATCGCAGACGCATTTATTAACAATACTACTGTAATTGTTCTTTTACATTTAAATATATCTTTAGCTTGATAATTTCACAACGTGCACAAATTAAATTCTATTACTTTTATTTAGACTTCAAATATCTTTTGTTATCACTCACCAAACTCGTTCTTCGCGATGATGCTCTTCGTAGTCTCGAGTGGATCGGACTCTCCGATATTGTTAACAGCCTTGACGCGGAATAGATATTCCTTGCGATGAATCAGACGGCTGACCTCGTGACTTAACACCATACTCATGCCAGCGTCGGACCAAGTTCCACGGGACATGTCCATCTTCTCGATAACGTAGTGCAGAATGGGGCTGCCTCCATCGTCGAGAGGATGTCCCCAGGTCAAGTGGCAACCCTCTTTGGTGACGTTGGTGACATCCAAAGGCTTCTCCGGCGGCGCCGGTCTGTCGAGGACAGTGACTCTCGCGCTGGCGCTGGAAATTTAACATTCATCGTTTGTTTAACTAACAATCATCAAGAATTAAATTACTTAACTTAACATTGAGTGATTGATAACTTAAAGTTATATTTAAAAGTAATTAAAAATATTTTTTTAATTATTTTTAACATTAAAATCGTTTTCTGTTTGTTACTCGTAAATTTTCTATTATTATTATTATTTTAAAAGCAAGTTTAGATATAAAAAGATGTTATTTGATGTAAATTAATTTGCTCAAGGTTTTTATGCCATTCAAATTAAACATCGCGTTAAAGAATAAAAGAGTATCGAAACTACTTTCTACACAACTATAATTCTTTGATACGTCAATTACCTAAAGTTTCCGTGTTCGTTCTCCAAAGTTAGAGTGTAACGTCCAGTATCACCACGGACAGAGAACGGAATCTCGAAAGAAGTTTCAGTATTAGTGGTGAACATCTCGTGTCGAGCATCGGCCACAATCTGAACACCATCGCGGGACCACGTTGCCTTCGGTTTAGGTGACGCCACGATAGGAATATTGTAGCTGATCTTTTGGCCAGCACGAACCACCAAGTCGCGCAGCAAGTGTGTATCGAATGAAGGAGCAACTACAATTAATAAACAGAAATTATGAGTGTGAATACCGATAGCAACAAAACATTTTCAGTTGTTTTAAAAAGTGAATTCAAGGACTTCTTACTTCTCTCAAGGGAAAGAATGCTATGTGGATTCAAATTTTTTGAAAATATTTTTGCAACAAAACTCTTTCTAAAGTAATTTAATTATTTCGCTAATTTCGATAAGGTTTCGAACTTACTGAAACGGGGTTTGGCAACGACCGGTAAAGACGCGTCGGACGGGTCGCCAGGTCCGCCCTTGTTAACGGCGATGACTCTGAACTCGTATTCCTGACCTTCGGTCAAATCAGGTACTCTGGCACTGGTTTTGTTCCCGGGCACCTCGGCAGCCTTTTCCCATTGTCCGAAACGAGGTCGTTTCTCGATTATGTAACCAGTTATGGGCGATCCGCCGTCTTTCTTGGGCGGTGCCCATTCAAGATCCACGTGATCCTTGTCCCAGTCGGTGGCAACCGGAGTGCCAGGCTTATCAGGCTTGGCGAACGGATCCTTGGCGGTGATAGTGTCCATTCCTGTCAACGGCTGGGACTCGCCCTGCTTATTCACCGCTCGCACGCGGAACTGATAGTCATGTCCCTCGATTAGGTGGCCCACCTGCGCTGAGGTGTTGTTAGCCTCGGCCACGGGCACCCAGCGCATATTTTCCGTGTCCATTTTCTCGACTTGGTAGTACTGAATCTCGCAACCGCCGTCGTCCTTCGGTGGCCGCCACTTCAGAGTGCAACCGTTTTTGGTGACGTTGTCGATCTTCAACGGACCTTCCGGCGGTGAAGGTACATCCATCACATTCACTGTCAACGTAGCAGAGTCCTTGCCGTTCACGTTCTTGGCAACAAGCGTGTAGACGCCGGAGTCGGACCGTTTTGCCTCCATCACGCGCACCTTAGTATTGTAATCCTCGTTGATGATCTTGATGCGATCACTTGCCATTACTATGGTGTCCTTCAGTGACCACTCTTTGATTGGCGGTGGCTCGCCGGTCACCGGCACATCGAAGTCGAAGAAACCGCCGGCGCGCACTTTCACGTCCAGCATGTACTTTCTATCGATCTTCGGCGGAACTAAACATAAAATATATAACAATTAATTATACGTTATTAACTAAGTAAATGCAAGATCAAATAGTAACATTTTTAATCAATTTTTAATTTCTTAAGTTTCTGACTTATAAAAAAATTATAAAATAATTCAAGTTTTTTAAATGAACACAAAATTCGATAAATTCTTACGATTTTTGGGTCGCGCCACGTGAGACTTGGACGCCTCTGATGGCTCGCCGGGACCAGCCTTGTTGACAGCCCTCACGCGGAACTCGTATGGAGTTCCCTCGACCAGATCGTTGACTCTGCCACGATTCGTATCACCATCGACTTCCGCACATTTCTCCCAAGTTGGACTGTACTTGTCGCGTTTCTCTATGATGTAGCCGGTGATTGGTGATCCACCGTCTTCCTCAGGACGGCTCCATTGAAGTTCGACAAAGTCCGTGTCATAATCAACCACCTCGGGTGTACCTGGTTTTCCTGGTTCATCTACAAACGATAAAATAATATGAGAAATGTGAAATTGTAATATTAACATATTTTTTAAAGTTTTGTAAATTTTAAGATATAATAAATTTCAAACAATTATGATAACTATATTAAAAATATGACGCACAAATCTTTTAAGAATGTGTAAATTTAAGATTATATGAAATTATTACTTCATTAAAAATATTTGTCTTACCGAAGGGATTTTTCGCCTCGATGCCCTGCATGGCGGTGAGTGGCTCGGACTTGCCCTGCTTATTGACTGCCCTCACCCTGAACTTGTACTTGTGCCCTGGCGTCAGGCCCTCCACCTGCAGACTCGTTTCCGGTCCGTCGGTCTCTCCGGCCGGCACCCAACGACCCGTGGCTTCGTCCATCTTTTCTACAACGTATTTATCAACCGGCTGCCCACCGTCGTCCTCGGGCGGTTTCCACGTGAGCTTGCAACCCTCGGCGTGCACATCGGACGCGCGGAGCGGACCTTGGGGCGGGCTCGGCTTATCCAGCACGGTTACCTTGACGGTTGCCTCGTCTCGGCCGTTGATATTCTCAGCAATAACGGTGTACTTGCCGGATTCCGCACGCGTAGCCATCCGCACGTTCAGACTGGTGTTGTAGTCCACGTGCTTGACCTTAACGCGATCACTCGGCCGAACTTCCTTGCCGTTTAGCATCCATTTGGTAGTCGGCGGCGGCTCGCCCGTTACCTTGCAGTCATAGCTGAAGTTTTGGCCAGCCTTAATCTTCACCTCGATCAGATTGGTGCGATCGATCCTGGGCGCTAGATTGCGCGGCTTGGCGATGATGGTCGGCGTGGCATCCGACGGTTCTCCAGGGCCAGCCTTATTCACGGCACGGACACGGAATTCGTACGGCTGACCTTCGATCAGATCCGGTACTGTAGCGGAGGTATCATCCGCGGGCACCTCCAATGCCTTCTCCCATTCGCCATACTTGTCTTTCTTCTCAATTACGTAACCAGTGATTGGTGAACCACCATCGTTCTCCGGCGGAGTCCATTTCAGATCGACGTGGTCCTTGTCCCAATCGGTGGCTCGAAGATCACCCGGTTTGCCTGGTTCGTCTGCAAATAGACACGAAAATAAATTTGATGTTAATTATCTCAAATTAAAAATAATAACATCTGTCTTTAAATTATATACTTTAATCTGTACTTGTTGCAATGTTTTGCATAATTTTAATTTATGTTTGTTTGACGTACCGAATGGATTCTTGGCTACTATCGATTGCTCCGCTTCCAAAGGTTTTGACTCGCCCTCGGCATTGACCGCGGCTACCCGGAAGAGATACTCCTTGCCAGGTGTTAGACCTGTCACCTCGAGAGCTGTAACAAATTTATTTATATTAAATAAATACTATAAAGCCAACTGTATATTTCAAGATCGAATATACACCAGGAAAACTGTTAATGAAAAATAAAGAAATTTGAGCCGCTTTATAAAATATAAAAAAATCATAGAACCAGAATCTATCACGCATTGTTTATACGAAAAATTTAATGATGCTATGTCAGCTTTATTTTTTATTCCATTAATCACATTCAAATCCGGTGACTTACTTGGATCGGTAGAACGTCCGCAAGGCACCCAGCATCCGGTCTCCGGATCCATCTTGTCCACCTGGTAGTATTCGATGGGCGTGCCGCCGTCGTCCTTAGGTCTCTTCCACTTCAGCTTGCATCCCTCCTTGTGCACATCTGACACCTGAAGCGGTCCTTCGGGCGGTGTCGGCTTGTCCGTCACCGTCACCTGCACCGTCACCGAATCCTTGCCCGACGAATTGCTAGCCGTCACAGTGTAATCACCACTGTCGTCCCGCGATACCGGACGTATGCTAAACTTGGTGTTGTAGTCGGTGTTATCGATCTGCACCTTACGATCGGAATGAAGCGGTATCGCGCCGTAACGCCACTCGATGTGCGGCGGCGGCTCGCCGATCACGTTGGCATCGAACTTCAGCATTGAGCCAGCGGACAGGGTAACGTCCCTCAGGTTTCGCCTATCGATCTTCGGGGCCACTGCGACGAATGATTAGATGATCAGATGCCAATATCACATTTATTGTTAGACAAGCACGCGGTTCATTGAGATTATTTTTGGAACGTGCGTACGTTTTGTGGCAAAGATACAAGGATCACTGTCCTGTTATAGATCGATTGCTTGCATAATTAAGATCTTAGATGTAGAGACCAATTATTAAGACAATACTGTACTTGTTACCATTTCTACTCAATATCAAAATTATCGAAAAAGAATTTACAGTCAAATAAAATGTAAATTATTATAATGACAAGAAGATGCAATTTCTTTAATATCACAAGTTATAATTGATATGAAGACAATACTGTCACATATTTAAAAAATGTTGCTAAGATACAATTTAATTAATTTCTATAATCCTCCAAGAAAGGATTTGTTAGTCTAACATTAAAATCTAACTCAGAAAAATTGAAATGTGACAAGTACTTACAGAAACGCGGTTTAGCAGTAAATGTCTTGCTAGCTTCACCAGGTTCCGACTGACCAGCCTTGTTTACGGCGATCACACGGAATTGATAATCGTTGCCTTCTATTAGACCATGTACCAGAGCCTTGGTAACCGGTGTCTCGGTTTCCAAAGCTTTCTCCCACATAGTGCTATATTTGTCTTTTTTCTCGATGATGTAGCCTGTTATAGGCGATCCACCATCACTAACAGGCTCCTTCCAGGCGAGTTCAACCTGGTTGGCAGTCCAATCGACTGGCTCTGGTGCTCCAGGCGCAGTTGGCACAGCTACAAAAATTTATTAATATAATAAAATTGGCAATCGGTATTATTTTAAAGAAATAAGAAGCGGAGCTCTGTGGAAAATAGTATCTTTATATAATACAAATGTTACAAAAAGTAGTAGTAAAAATTAAAAACATGAAAGATACTACGAAATAATTTTAATAAATGTATCGACACATATTTCTATAATAATATATAAAGTATAAATAGTCCAAATTTGTTAATTATACATACTTATTGAAGATGTTACTGAGATATTACAGACATTAAATATGTCTTTTTATTTTTAGAGTATTGTAAAACATATTTTCACTTACTGAACGGATCTTTGGCTACGATGGAACTAAAGGTCTCCAATGGTTCAGACTCCCCTTCCTTGTTGAGTGCCTTGACCCGGAACTTGTATTCATGTCCAGGTGTAAGCCCTTCAACCTTCATCTCGGGTCCAGTAGTTTTACCAACCGGTAGCCAAACACCGGTCTCTGGATCGAACTTCTCCACGAGATAGCCCTCGATCGGTTCTCCACCGTCGTCCTTCGGTTTCTTCCATTTAAGTGTGCATCCTTCTTTGTGCACATCGGATACCTCTAATGGTCCTTCCGGTTTACCAGGCTTGGCTGAAAGACGAACGGAATTTAGATTAAATTATTTTATACGCCAAAAACTATGTTCACAAGCAGAGAATCTCCTTTCATTAGAGATTATTATATATTAAATATTTAACATGGAAAGAGAAAGCAAATTGAAATAGTATGCTTAATATAGACTGATAATTGTTTCCTTCAATTATATGTATAAGTTATGTAATATAAATTCTAAACTTGTAAAATATTAATTTATAAAAATTACTCACAGACAACGGTGACTTCGACTTCGGCGGTATCGGATCCATGTTGATTGATCGCTGTAATCTTGTAAGTACCGCTGTCCTTGCGTTCGGGTTTGTCGTTGAAGAACTTACTGTTGTAAGGTACGTTCTGTATTCTGCGGTGCGTGGTCTGCTGGATGCTCTTATTGTTGATCACCCACGTGACGTCTGGCGGTGGTTCGCCGATAATTTTGACGTCGAAGTGGAACGCTTCGTTCTCGCGCACAGTTATATCACGCAGATTTCGTCTGTCGATTTTCGGCGGGACTGAACAATCAAAAGAAATAATTGTAATAAATAAATCTAGTCTTCATATCAATCAACATATTCTAAAACAATTTTAGTCTCCAAAAACATTTTTACATTAAGAAATTCTTTCAACTTCAACTCGAAATCTTTTCATGAAGAGAATTTTAAGAGTTCAAAAAATTATTTTATAATTATCAATAAACAAAGATTAAATAAAGATATTTTTATAAATGAAGGACTCACGTCTTCGACTCTTGGCAGTAATCGGTTTGCTGGCGTCGGACGGTTCACCGGGACCAGCAGCGTTAATGGCTTTGACCCTAAATTCGTATTCGACACCCTCGTCGAGATTATCGACGCGACCCTTGCAATCCGGCCCAGTCTCGCACGCCTTGATCCACTTAGGCGCGCCCTTTTCCCGCTTCTCGATCACGTATCCGGTGATTGGAGATCCGCCGTCCTTTAACGGCGGGGTCCATCGCAGGTCCACGTGATCCTTGTCCCAGTCGGTCGCCTCTGGACGTCCTGGTGCTCCAGGTTCATCTGCACGTAAATAAAACTGATGTTATTTGTCTGAACTAAGAAACGCAGATGAAACATTTCGAGGATAAATTTTGAAGAAAGAAATAATGATCAATAACTGTCGAAATCTGATTAATTAAAAATTATAATTAGCTTGCATGTTAAAGAATGAGGAAAACAATGGAATTAAAACTTTATTTATATAATATTCTATATTATGTGATCAGGCACGTAGAATTTTAATATAAAAAGTTACGGCAACTTGAAAGTTAAATAAAAGAATAGATTTAGTAGATATCATCAAGAAACTAGAGACTATAAATTTCTTACCGAATGGATTCTTGGCGACGATTCCGTACTCAGTTTCCAACGGTTCAGATTCACCTTCCGCATTTACTGCTGCAACTCGGAATTTATATTCCTGTCCGGGCACTAAATTCTCCACCGCCATTGTCGGTTCCTTGGTGCGTGCAACCGGTATCCATCTGCCAGTCTCCGTGTCCATCTTCTCGACCACGTAGTGATCCAAAGGCGCACCGCCGTCGTCCGCGGGTGGATTCCACTTGAGAGTACAGCCCTCCTTGTGCACATCGGAAACTTTGAGCGGTCCTTCGGGCTTGCTAGGTTTGTCCAGCACCAGAATTTCGATAGACGCCTCATCTTTGCCAGAGCTATTCTCCGCTTTCAAAGTCAGCGTGCCACAATGAGCCCTGGTCGCTGATGAGACCACAAACTTGGTCTTGTAATCCTCCGTTTCGATCGTCAAGACATTGCCGGATTCCTGCTTGGCCTTATTCAAGAACCAGGTCTTGCTTGGCGGCGGTTCACCTGTGACTTTGACGTCCAACCGAATGACATTGCCGGCCTTAATTGTAATATCTTTCAGATTCGTGCGATCGATCTTGGGCGCAGCATAGCGATCCTTGGCGGTCAGGGTGTCGCTAGGCTCGCTGGGCTTGCTTTGGCCACCCTTATTCACAGCCTTAACTCGGAACTGATATTTCTGACCTTCCACAAGATCTGGTACTTTGGCTTCGGTTTTGTTGCCTGGAACTTCCACAGCTTTTTGCCATTTGCCGTACTGATCCTTCTTCTCAATGATATATTTCTCGATAGGAGCACCACCATCCTTCTTCGGGGCTTTCCATTTCAGGTCCACATGGTTCTTCGACCAGTCCTTCAACTCGGGTTTGCTAGGCGCATCGGGTTCAGCTATAATTAAAAATAGGCGTTTTAGAAAATATATTATTACAGGTTATAATAAGAATTAAAAATCTACTAAAATATGTACAGCAATATGATAATACAATATATAATATCATCAATTTTGGTAAATTTTAATATTATGCTTTTTAATATTCGATATGGTAAATACAATTACAGTTATATTAAAGATATAATGTTTTATAGAATAAAATTTCCTTATAACACATAGAAAAAACTTATTAATACAAGTAGCCTCTACAAATTTGTGTTTTCTGAAAGTTTTATAAATATTTTAATATAATAGGATAACTAAGCATAAATAAAACTTTACAGCTAATATATAGAGTTGCAAGTAAAGAATTAGATATCCAATATATATTTGCGATTCGTATTTTAAAGTTTCATTATAAATTTTATTATAATATAATATCAAAATATCAAAAAATTAATTGAGAGGAATAATGAAAATAAGCGGAATATTTACAATAAGGATTTTTGGCAGTCGTCGGTATGGATGTTTCCAGAGGTTCAGATTCACCCTCAGAGTTGACAGCTTTAACACGGAATTGATAATCTTTGCCCTCATTCAAACCGGACACGTCTGCCTCTGGAGTCTTGCTAGTACCGCATGGTACCCAACGTCCGGTGTCCACATCCATCCTTTCGATGACATAATGATCAACCGGTTCACCACCATCGTCGTCGGGTTTGTCCCATTTCAGCTTGCAACCCTCGGCAGTCACATCAGACACTTCAAGTGGTCCTTTCGGTTTGCCAGGCTTGCTTAAAACCTGAACATCAAAACGATTATAATACGATAATAAATGTTCAATTAGCACGAATTTAGCAATTAGCAATTTAACAAGAAGTGTTCTAACAAATAATTGAGAAATGATTGTTTACGAACTTGAAGTTCAACGTCGACCTGATCGGTGCCGCTGTCATTCTTGGCGATGACGGTGTAAGTGTCAGCGTCCGAGCGCTGAAGCTTATTGAGAACAAACATCGTATGGTAATCCTCGTTCTCAATTTTCAATCGGTCCATGCTCTTCAGCACTGTATCCTTGCGTTTCCATGTAACGACTGGTGGCGGTTCACCCTTGATGTCGGCCTCGAGTCGTAGCATCTGACCAATTCGCATGACTTTCTTATGAAGATTCTTGCGGTCGATGTGCGGTGCCACTGTAAACAACAGAATTAATTAGATATATAAACTATAATATTAAATTCAATAAATAAATTTATCTAAAGTTAATCATATGATACTTACAAAATCGAGGCTTGGCAACGACGCTCTTTGAGGTATCGCTGGGCTCGCCAGGTCCGGCCTTATTGACTGCCACTATCCTGAACTCATACTCGTGACCTTCCTGAATCCCATCGGTCACTTTAGCGGCCGTTCGCTCTCCTGGAACCTTAGCGACGTCCACCCACTGTCTACCATCTTTGTCTCGCATTTGTACGATGTACTTTTCGATCGGTGCACCGCCGTCATCCTTAGGCGGAGTCCATTCAAGATCGACGAAGTCCTTGTCCCAATTCTTAAGCTCTGGTCGACCAGGTTTGCCCGGTTCATCTAAAATCGAGAAAGTAAATGAGTCTCTTTCAAGAGAGAAGGTTAAATTCATTTTCAGTTTCTAAATTACAAAGATAAATTCTTCGTACCGAATGGATTCTTGGCTATGATAGACTTATCCGCCTCCAAATCGTCAGATTCTCCTTCTCTGTTGACGGCTTTTACGCGGAATTTGTACGGCTTGCCCTCCTGCAATCCGGTGATCGTTGCTTCAGGTTCGGTACTACGACCACAAGGTACCCATTGCCCTGTAAGAGGATCCAGCTTCTCAATCTCATAGTATTCGACCGGAGCACCACCGTCGTCTTCGGGTTTGTCCCATTTAAGTTTGCAGCCATGTTTGTTAACATCGCTTACTTCCAAGGGGCCCTGAATTGCAAAGAAAATATTTAATCCTACTGTCGAATTTTCAAGATAATTCATGAAATAGATAAAATAAATTAAATAATTACAATAATTAATAATTAAATAAATAGGTTATTTAATAAATTATTTGATTCAACTTTTAATTTATATTGAATAAAGTGATAGTGTAAATTATACTATGTATGTAATTTATAGATATATAAAAGATAAAATGTTAAATTTTTACCTTTGGTTTACTCGGTTTGCCAAGAACTGTAATTTCCACTTCGGCAGTATCTTCGCCAACTTCGTTTTTCGCCGTAATCACATATTTGCCGGTGTGGACGCGTTTAGTCTTTAGAATAAAGAATTTCGTGTTGTAATCAACATTGTCGATTCGAATTGTGTCGTCCGATACGAGTTCTTTATCCTTGAAGGTCCAAGTGACTTTTGGTGGCGGTTCGCCAATTATGTTTACGTCCAAGCTTACGGTGAGGCCGACTTTTACCGTTATGGGTTGCAGATTCGTGCGATCGATGTACGGTTTCACTGCAAGATAAAAGTTATAAAATTAACTGTCTATCACTGCTTTCTTCATACAAATAAATACAAAATTTTGAAAAGAAAATTAAATTTACGTAAATCTTAATAAATGGAAAATTTACAAGTCGTAAAAAATAGAAATAAAAGATATCTAAGTAATTAATTAAAATTTATGTAATTTATTAAAATTAAATCAAAGTAACACTTACACCAACGGGCCTTAGCGGTGTGCGGATTGGTGGCCTCGCTAGGTTCACCAGGGCCAGCTTTATTGACGGCTCGTACTCTAAACTGATACTGATTGCCCTCTTCTAAACGTGGAACTGTGCCAGTACATACGGGCCCTTGCACTTCAGCAGCCTTGACGAAATTAGTACCGAACTTGTCCTTCATCTCAATAATATATCCGGTAATAGGAGCACCGCCATCTCTTATCGGTGGTTCCCATTTGAGTTTCACCATATTCTCTGACCAGTCGACAATCTCTGGGAGTCCAGGCGCCGCTGGAGCATCTAAAATATTTCAAGAAGCACGTCATAATCTTTTCTATTCTCTTTTAATTACAAAAATATATAACAAATGATATAATTAAATAATTAGATTTTAAATTCATCTTTGATTTTTATCACAATATAATGTTTGGTAAAAATTTTTTATCTACTATTAAAAAGAAAATCTAACATTTATCCATAATTATTAAAATAATGTACAATACATATCATAATAAATTTAATTATAAATGATCATCTTTATTAATTACAATTTTCTACTAAAAAAATAAGATATTTGCTAACAGTATACTTAAAATTACTCAATCTAAAATAGAATTACATGTAAAAATAAAAATATATGCATAAACGTAATCAAAATACTATACCATATGGATTCTTAGCTACGATGGCAACGTCAGTTTGTAGAGGTTCTGATTCCCCCTCCTCGTTCACAGCCTTCACACGGAATTCGTACTTATGGCCAGGCTCCAAACCGGTAACTGCATGCTCAGTTTTTTCAGGGTCCACAATACCGGCTGGTACCCAACGACCCGTTGTCACGTCCATCTTTTCAACTATGTAACTAAACAGTGGAAGCCCACCATCGTCCTTCGGCTTGCTCCACTTCAATTTGCAGCCCTCCTTGTGCACGTCAGTCACTTCCAGTGGTCCCTCCGGCTTTCCAGGTTTATCTACAAAATTATGTGAAGTTTCACAGCATAAATATATATTCTATTATGTGCTGATTTAATTTCAACATTAAATTAAGTATTTACGTTACAAAATATGAAGCTTTTTTCTATTTAGACACTTCAGTTAATTATTGTAGAATTAAGTTAAAAAAGTGATATGGATACAAAATATATTCAAGTTTACTTACCAAGAATATTAATTTCCACATCGGCCTCATCCTGTCCGGAATCATTTACAGCCTTAATAGTATATTTGCCAGTTAACTTCCGACTGGTGTTTGTTAATTGAATCTTAGTAAGATAGTCTTCGTTGTCAATCTTAACATTGGCTCCAGTTTGGAGTGGCGTACCGGCAAAACTCCATGTAACTGTTGGAGGTGGTTCGCCTTCGACATCAACTTCTAACTTTACCAGTTGACCTGCCCTTACTTTGATAGTTTGCAGCTTATCACGGTTAATATGCGGTTTCACTATAAAAAATATTAATACAACATTATCTTATAAATAATTTTGTGATAATTATTAAAAGTGCGAGATATTTATTCATATCTCTCATTTTGTATAAAGTATAATAAATTAAATTTTGACAGAGAGATTTTAATTTTAATTGTCTTCAACAGAAATAGAAAAATGTTAATAAATTATGTATTAATTGTAATTTAATGTACTGCTTAATTTGCAATTATCAGATGTTTCAAACCTATCGTATATAATAATTAAAAGTTATATTTAGTTATAATTAGTTAATCAAATTGAAATACACACGGAATCTTGCTTTGGCAACATGCGGCTTGGTCGGATCGCTAGGCTCCGATGGTCCAGCCTTGTTAACAGCACGAACACGGAACTGATAAGTGGAACCCTTCTTCAACCCGGTAACACGACCTTTCGGTTGTGGCGAGTCAGTGACCAGAGCTTCTTCCCACTGCGAGGAAGGTTTCTCCTTCTTTTCAATAATGTATCCGGTGATCGGTGCACCACCGCTGTCTTTGGGAGGTTCCCACTTGAGATCGACACGATCGACATCCCAATCCTCCAGTTCTGGTGTTCCAGGCTTGCTTGTGACATCTGTTAAAAGAAAACATATTTTATTTAATTTTTAGCTGCGATTAATTACAATTTAAATTCTTTAAAAAAATTAACAAAATCTCTTTATATACAATTTATTTTATTTTAGATTTAGTCATAATATCAAGATTGTTTTAAAGTCATTATCAAGTTTTACTTTTTCAAGTAATTAATTAATTTTTATTAAAGCATTTTTCATTGATTTAACATTACTATTTGACTTACCATAAGGATTCTTCGCGAGTGTTGAGCCGTCTGACACAAGCGGCTCCGATTCTCCTTCTTCATTCAGAGCCTTTACTCGAAACTCATACTCATGTCCCTCTTGAAGGCCCTTTATGTCCATCTCAGTATCCGCGGTACGACCGACCGGTATCCACCTGCCTGTCGATTTATCCAGTTTCTCCACTTGATATCCTGTGATCGGCTTGCCACCATCGTCTTCTGGTTTGCCCCATTTGAGCTTGCAGCCGTTCTTCGTGACATCTGCCACTTTGAGAGGACCCTTTGGCTTTCCAGGAGCCGCTGTACACAAGAAACAATCGTACAATAGTTTAACATAGAAAGAGGATAAAATTTTATAATTTATTCTGCTAGTTAAAGGAAATATCAGATATTCGTCGCTCACATAGTATCGTCACTTCGACTTCCGCTTCGTCCTCGCCGTGAGGATTGACAGCCTTGATCTTCCACACACCGGTGTTCTTGCGCACACTGTCGGTGATAGTGAGCTTCGTGTTGTAGTCAACGTTGACAATCTCGATGTTCTCGCCAGATTTGACTTCGCTGCCGGCATGATACCATTTGATCTCTGGCGGTGGCTCGCCACGCACATCCACATCGTACTTGACGGTTTTACCGGCTCGCACGACGATCGGTTTCAAGTTTGTTCTGTCAATTCTCGGCTTCACTAAACCGTGAGAATTAATTTAACCAAATATTATTTTTACGTGAAAATAAAGATAAATTTTTAAATGTTTTATAATATTTTTAATTAATTCAATAGCATTAATTATTATTATAAAAGTGCAGATTAAATATATCATATACATTTATATTAATTATAACTATAATTATAAACATATATTTGACGGAAACTCACGAGCTTTGTGCTTGCAGATCTGCATCTTTGACGCGTCTGACGGAGGCGAGGGTCCAGCTTTGTTTACTGCGATTACTCGGAACTGATATTCGCCCCTTTCTTTCAGATCGGGTACTTTGCCCTCAAGTTGATCTCCAGGGACTTCAATAGCCTTTTCCCAATCGGGCTTGTAACGATCTTTTTTCTCAATAATATATTTTTCGATCGGCGATCCTCCATCGAATTCTGGCGGAGCCCATTTTAAGCTTACAGATTCGTTATCGTAATCGGTTATTTCGGGCGTTCCAGGCTTCAAAGGTTCGTCTAAAAGAAAAAGAGAGAAAAAATTATTCAGTTTGAATTTATAATATCTATACCTTATGTTTAACGCTCTAACTACGACTGTGTATATTTAACGCGAGATTATATTATTTAATACGAAAAATATTGATATACCGTATGGATTCTTGGCAACGACGCCGCGTTCGCTCTCCAGAGGCTCCGAATCACCCTCGTCATTAACAGCTGTGACGCGGAACTTGTACTCGCTTCCAGGATTCAAGCCAGTGACTTCAAATTCCGTGTTTGGCGAGTTTCCAGGCACTTTACCAACTCTGACCCATTTACCAGTCTTCGTGTCCATCTTCTCAATTTCGTACTCTTTGATCGGTACACCACCATCATCCTCCGGCTTCTCCCATTTCACCTTGGCTGAGGTATTGGTCACATCGCTGACTTTTAAAGGTCCTTTAGGAGCGTCCGGTTTTCCTGCAAGAAGAAATTTTGCTATATAATTTCTCTTTTTTATTGAGAAATCCTCCTTTTGAAAATCAATTTGCATAACTAATACAAATAAAATATTAAATTAATCGTAAAGTTGTTAGATTATTATAACAAATTATGTAGATCGTAAAAAAAATAAACTATGAAACTTTAGATTTACCAAGCACGGTGAGTTCAACGGTCTCTTCGTCTTTGCCATTAGCATTCTCAGCAACCAGCGTGTACTTTCCGGTATCCTTGCGCATCGCATTTACGATCGTGAAGTCCGTGTGATACTCGACATTGTCGATCTTGATACGCTCGGTGGAGGTCAATGGAATGTTATCCCTCCATATCCATTTGGTTTCCGGTGGAGGTTCACCAGATACATCCACAGACCATTTATGGGTGCGACCAGCTTTGATGATGATAGATTTGAAATTGGTTCGGTCGATTCTCGGTCTCACTGAAAATTTTCCCAATTTGACAAATTGCTTTTTATAGATGTAACAAACATTATATGTAATTATAAATAACTGAATACTAAATATCGTAAATATCGTTTATAAAATTAATATCAAATTAAATCTTATATCAGCAATTTAATTAAAAAATATATAATACTTCTATATGCATATTTTAATTTTTTTAATACAAATAAATCCATAGCATCCATAGCAAGTTTGTAATAATTTTTATAAGTGACTATAAACAAATTTTTATAATTATAAAGACATCATTTCACGTGACTAAGTTGAAAAAGACTTACTGTTTCTGTGTTTGCAGAGATGGTTGTCTGTGGGCTCGCTAGGTTCACCAGGCCCGGCTTTATTGTGAGCGCGAACGCGGAATTGGTACACCATCTTCTCCTTCAGGCCTTCAACTTTAGCTTCGGGTGTCGAGTCGTTGGTCTTCATTACCTCGACCCAATCGACGGCGAATTTGTCTTTTATCTCGACAGTGTAGTGAGTAATTGCTCTGCCACCGTCGCTCTGTGGTTTCTCCCATTTCAAAGACACACTGACGTTATCATAGTCGATGATCTGCGGCTTGCCAGGCTTACCAGGCTCATCTGTCGAGAATGTTATATAAGTTCAAAAACACATTACTTTGTTAATAGTATCTAATGAAATTGAATTAATCAAATTAAATTAACAATATTTAATTGCCCAACTTTTATTATTAATTGCCCTATAAAATAATTTTATTAATTACCTATCTCCACCCAAAAACGTTATTAAGATGACTAGAAATGTCAGATATATTTTTACCGTAAGGATTTTTCGCGACGATGGCTTCTTCGACCTCCAGTGGTTCAGACTCGCCTTCCTTATTAACTGCCTTAACACGGAACTTATATTTCTTCTTGGGTGTTAAGCCAGAGAACGTAAAAGTCCTGTCGTTCGGACTAGTTTCTCCAGCTGGAATCCACCGTCCAGTATCCAGATCCATCTTTTCCAGTACGTAGCCTGTGATATCGGTACCACCGTTATCCTCCGGAACATCCCATTTAACTTTAACGTGATCGGAGCGCACTTCCTCCACTTTCATAGGTCCTTGTGGAATCGACGGCTTATCTGTAAAGATAATGAATTTAACTCGATGTAACACAAATTATTGCTCTGCAATTTTCACGTAAAATTTCATTTAAAACTTATGATTTAGTCAAGAAAAATATTTAGGGTTAAATTTTTACAAAATATTAATAAAATATGATCAATGAGCTCACCAAGAACGACAACGTCGGCAACGCTTTCGCAAGTGCCGGAACTGTTTGTCAATACCAATTTATATTTTCCAGAATCGGGTCTGGTGGTCTTTCTGACTGTCAGCACGGTATTTCTCTCGTATTTGTCGATCGTGACTCTCTCAGCCGAGTCCTGAATTATCTCCTTCTGGCCCAGGAACCAATGTACTTCCGGTTCTGGCTCACCGGCATACTTGATGTCGTATTTGATGACTTGGCCCTTCTTGACGACCAGATTCGTAAGGCCATCACCGATGATATATGGTTTAACGAATCGGCATTTGGCAATAATCGGCTTAGTGGCGTCAGACGGCTCACCAGGACCTGCCTTGTTCACGGCTCGTATCCTGAATTCGTATTGCGTGCCTTCTTTGAGACCATCGATAGTCGCCTGAGTCACGTCGCCCTCGATCTCCTTGCCCGTCACCCATTCTTTGCCGAACTTCTCCTTGTATTCGATTACATAGCCAGTGATCGGTGAACCACCGTCGTTCTCGGGTTTCGTCCATGTCAGATCAGCGTGGTCCTTGTCCCAATCGGTTACATCGACGTTCGTGGGTTTACCTGGTTCGTCTAAAAGTGACAAGAATGCCTTTGTTTGTTTCCTTCTCTCTACTTAATTAACACATTTGTATATTTAATTTTTAAAAAGATAAGGATTTTATCGTGGGAGATAATATTAATTTCAATATAAATTTAAGTTCATTAACATTTACCCCATGGATCCTTGGCTAAGACGGGCTTGGCAAACATTGCCGGTTCACTGGAACCGAGTTTATTCACGGCTCGTATACGGAACTTGTACTCCCTCTTCGCAATTAGATCTTCGACCTTATAGACACATTTCTCGCCTAACATGACTTCACCGACGCTGTCCCATTGAGACTTCAAACTAAGATCGAGGCGCTCGATGACGTACTTCATGATAGGTGAGCCGCCGTCATCCTTTGATGGTTTGAAGGACACGACGCAAGAGTTCTGGAATATTTCGTTGACCTCGACATCGTACGGTGCAGATGGGACATCTAAAAAAATAATTTAGATAAGAAAAAATAAAACGTAAGGTTTTATTAAAAGATCGGTTATGTAAAAATACAAACCTTGCATAACAATATTGACATCCTTCACTTCTTCACCCTGGTTATTACCAATTTTTATCTGGTAGATACCAGAGGATTCGCGTTGAGGTTTTTTGATTTTATACGTGATTTTATCCTCGCCAACGACGATCTCAACGTCTTTGAGAGGTAATGGCTTGCCGTCCTTCATCAGCTTCGCTTCCACTTGACTCTGCTTGGTGCCATCGACTGTAGAGATAGCAAACACAAATTTTTCAATTTTACAATTCAACATTTATACGCATCGTTGTTATTAAATTTTATTACATCATGCATAAGATATGAGCTGTTACCTTTGAAAGGCACGACAAAGACCAGCGGTGCGCTGCAGGGTCCTTCGACTTTGTCGGGGAAGTCAACGATCGGTTTGCTCTCGCCCTTCTTCACAGTTAGTTTGCAATTACTCGTCAGCTGACCGCTTTCGCACATGATCTCGCCGTCATCCGTCATTTCCAGCTTGTTGAAGACCAACTGATGCTTACCGCCGCCCAGATTCTTGATCTCCACTCTCTCATTGGGCTCGATCTTCTCGCCGTTAAAGTAGAATACAGCCGGCGCGGTCTGATCTTGAAGCTCAACATCCAGTACCAGCTTCTCTCTCTCCACCGCGACTGTGTCCTTCAACTTCTTGTTGAAACGATTGGCATCTATAATTTACAAGAAAATCTGTAGTCATGCAATTTTTTTCTTAAGAATAAAATTAAAGGAAACTTAAAAAAGTTATATTTACAGTTTATCACAATTTCTGCTTCGGTCTTGTCCGCGTTGCTCACACAAGAATAGAGTCCGGCGTCGGTGACCTTACTATCTTTAATGATGAGCTTTCGTTTCCTGCCCTCTTCCTTAATTTGCACCCTAGTGCAGAAATTATTTATAAAAAAATGTTCTTAAGGTCAAAGACTACTATGTAAAAAATTAATTACTAATTTAATTGAAATTCTCTCTACTAAAAAATAACCTCTTATCAGGTGTGATTGCTTGATCACCCTTGAACCATTGAACTTCACCCGCGGCATCATCCAATTCGCAAAGTAACGTCAAGGTTTCCTTTTCTATCAACTGCTGGTGTTTCAACACTTTGACGAACTTGTAAGGATATTCTAAAGAGAAGCATCGTAAGTAGTTAAATTCCGTAAGAATTAAAACATTTAGACAAATATATAGAATCGCAATTGAAGTGATCGTTGCAATTTATGAAAATAATGCCTACCGACTATAGTTAGGACAGTGTCGGTCTTGTCTGTCTGCTTGCTTATCTTGCAAGTATATTCGCCACTATCTTCGAGAGTCGCGCTCCTGATCGCCAGCCGGCACACTCCAGACATGTCTTTAGAGATACTGTACTGGTCTCCGTCCTAAAGAACAACGATGAGATTTCTTTAATACTTGACACATTCTGAATGTTAAATATTTATCCGAATTTTCGGTGTAATAAATTACCTCGAGTTTTGTTTTGCCTTTGTGCCAGGTAACTTGCGCCATGTTAGAGCTGACTGTACATTCCATGTAAGCTTCGTGCTTTGTGAAACCGCTGGTCTTTTTCGATAACGGCTTCAGGAAGGTATATGTTGGATCAGGCTCTAAAAATGGAACAATTTTAAAACGTAAATTTTATTTAATACAAAAATTCGATTCTCAGAAAGAAGATTTATCATATCCATGTTACGTACCATCGACATTCAGGAAAGCTGTGCTAGATACGCCGGCAATTTCGATCGTATATTTTCCAGTATCTTCGACTTTGGGTCCAGAGATAATGAGCTGATAGCAGTCTTCCTCGTTTTTGAATTTGTATTTCGCCGATGGGAATAATTCCTGCACAAAAAGTAAAAATAATTTAACATTAATTGCTTCGATTTTTAACTCCATTTTTCTAATTACAAAATAAGTTATGTAGAATGTTTTATTTGATGTTTTAATTAGGTCACAAAATAAAAAATATATAATTAAGTAGCTTATTATTAGTAGATTATTTATGGAAAAACACTTACGTCCTTCCGGAAGAACCATTTTGGCTTGCAGTTTGGTTTCGAAAAGTTCGCTTCAAAAACGACCTTCTTGTCTTTGCCTTCCTTGGCGTATTGGTCCACCAATGGCTTTAGGAAACTTTCTTGTTTCTGCAAAAGAAAGAGTACCGATCAACTGTGAATCATATTCAGAGATTTAACTGAGAAATCCAATAGTAGTATTGTTCAACATCGACAGCGATCGCTTTGCCAGGCTATAAAAAAAAGGTAGTAGAAAAATTGGCGGAAAATGTCGTTGCCTCTGAACGGAGGACGAGAACGACGAAAAAAAGGAACGAAGACGAAGTCTCTAAAGGAATTCTAAAAAAAGAGATTCTAGAGAAAAAAATTTGTAAGAAGTAGTCGATCGTTCATCGATCGACAGAGCTGGCTAGACAAGCTTGTGACTCGTCATGCTTATTAATATTAAAATCTGATGTTAAACAGATTTGAGAAAGGAAGAGTATGTTGGCTTCCTTGGAAAAAAATTAAAAAAGTACTCGCCATTGCTCGAGCAATATGTACGAGAAGATAGTTACTGGAGAAGGCACTGCTTATGAATGCATTCAAGAGACGACAACAATGAGGAAAGATATTATTTGTTAGGGAATCCACCTGTGAGTATTTTGTTTAGCGTTTCAATTGACTTCATTTTAATAAGAAATATTGAATAGGCTTGAAATATTTGAAGAAATTGATCTTATTATACAAACAATAATTAAAGTTTGCATGTGCAAAGTAAATATGTATATTGCACTTATGGTTCCAACTTGATTTAACTTTCTTGGATAATAATCCAAGAAATATTTTAACAAAATATATTAAAAGTTTGTAAGTTTATTTATTAATAATAATTTGATTACTGAAAAGAGAAAAAGTAAGTCTGTTCTAATTATATAAGTTAGCTTACAAATTCTTTTGTAAGTAAAACTTGTCACAGATTAGGATCCCTGCAAATAAATTTTAAAATTAAACAGAATATTCTCTCTCAAAAAATAAAGAGAGGATTAGAGAGAATGAAGTTATAAATCGAGTTAGAAGATGCAACAGAAGCGACGAAACTTTGATCTTAAGTAATTAATAAAATAGAATTCATTAATCGAAGGCGGAAGAAACAGCAGTAGAATTTTTGGGGCAAGACAATTAATTTGTACAAGAGAAAGAGTCGTCAAGAAAAAGAACGAGTTCTCGAGTGAGTCAGAAAAAGAAGAGAGACAGATCATCGAGTTTCGGAGACTGTCGAGGCAACAGCGACAGGCACACAGACAGTCAATATCACGTGAAATTATTAATGGAGAGTTCGATTCACGTAAGAATCGGTCCAACCTCCGTCTTGGTGAAGTGATGCAGGGTTGGCCAGTCGGGTATTAATTCGGCCAGAGACGGCCTACGTGATCCACTATTCTAGAAACAAGAAAAGGCACATCCCCGATCACAGCATCTTCTGCTTTAAAACACGTCATATCGATCTTGCTCGCTGACCGCTTTCAGCGATAAGCTATGATGAGCTTTAATTCCGAATTTAGTCATTGCTAGTCCTACGCTTGACTTCATAAGTTTCGTTATTTCAGATTTTCTTAATAATCGTCGCTACTCGTCATTATGAGTTATGCGTGATTAACTGTGATTACAATCACTAACAATTATAATAATTATTAAGTAATTACAATAAGCTGTTACAAAATACTATCAAAAGTACTACATTAAATATTACTAAACATAATGTATAATTATTATATCATAAATGTTAAATTGTTCGAATATTGCGAATATTATCTATTAGTTTTAGTAAATGTCTGCTCCATTTTCATTCGTGTTGATAGTTCTGCTGCTTTTTAGATATGTGAGTCACATAACTCAACAGAGCGAAGTGCGAAGACAAGAAATGTTATTTGAATTATTTGTATAATTTGTTGAATTAATGAGACTTGTCTACTCGACTAATGGTCTACATTGTTACGTGTTTTAGTTTTAAAACATTCATGAAAGCGTGTACATGCGTGATGATAAGCATATGTGACAGTAAGACTCATTTTTAATCAAGCCAAGCATCAAAAGCATGGATGATTCAGTTGTTAATTTTCATTTAATCTGCGTAAGAGTATATATAAATAATATCAACAAATTTATATTCGCTCCTCTGTTTTATAGTTTTTCTAAATTTTTAGAGATTATTTAAAAAAGCGCAGGCCAAAGGGATCTCTCAATCGTAAATAATCGCAAGAATTTTAAACTAATCTGTGAAAAAATTACAAATTCTAATATAATTTTATAACATATTTTTAGAAGATTTGATCAGAGTAAAATATAAAATTCTTGCGAAAACTGACTGGCTTTTGTTTTCATTGAATTATTCGGTTTACATCCTTAGTCGGATTGATGTAACACCTGCCGCAATAAAACAAAGAGATCAATCACAGTTACTTTGAAACGCCTACATCGCGTAGAGCCGATCTCTTTGCTGTGTTACAACACAATTTTTATTTTTTATCTCTCGCTCAAAGGGTCAAGTTTAGAAAATTCAAAAAACAATGGGGGTATTCTGGCAAATTATAATGACGAAATATCGAAACGTAAAAAATCTTATCTGCTATCTTCCCTAATTCGTACAACTCTGAACAATTTTTTTGGACAATTATTTTATGCAACGTTCGAATAATCATGTACTGTGATATCCAAGTTTAATTAACCAGAATACCACGCAGGAAGTGAAAGCCTTGCGGGGCAGTTCTGCTCTCTGTTTCGTGGCTTTTTGGAATCTAATGCAAGGATGCATTGCTTTAAGACTTTTTTTCGCGAACCTTCTCCTTGGCGTGTGCCGCTAGTTTTGGCCAGTCGACGATTAGCTCCTGCAAACTTGGCCTGCGCTGAATGTCGAAGATGTCCTGCATGCCCGGCACACACACATCATGGTTAATGCCACTCTTATACAATTAGCCAATACCGTTCAAAGAACTCTGATTTAAAGAAATATTTTTAAAAACTCTTAAAGAAAGATGACACTGTATATATATAATTTCTCCCGATTTTACTGTGCGCTACATGTAATTAATTAAATTTCTTATCTAAAAATATAAAATTGATTATATCAAAGTTCTTATCTTTTCCTATGATACTTCTACACGTTTAGAGATAATGCTTTTCTTCTAATGTAAGGAGTGTCATGCAACGGATTCGGAACAATTTCGTCACACATTTTATCGACACTTTACATTCATCCTTCTATCACTTCCAGGCTTTTCAGTCACGTTAATTATCGTGCTTGCTTGTTAATAGAGAAATGTGTGATAAACAACTACGTGAAGATATACAACTAGCCCTCAGTGTAATAAAATAATATCCGTGATATAATTTTTATACATTTTATAAAAATGCATATATTAATCTTGAGTTCTTATAAATTCTTGACACCAAAGTCAAATGTGCCAATCAAGAATTTTAATAACTCAAAGAAACGCAAAGAGGGATAAATGTAATTCCATATGCAGCATTAACTCTAAACCATACATAAGTGCATATGTTAAAAATGAGAGGAGAAAGTTACATCGCTTGCGCGACAAAGTGAAGGCAATGGGGAAGTAGAGAACTTCTATGGCATGGTCAAAATTTAGATAATGCCGCGAGAATAGAGTTTCAAATGTTCTGATAACGATTAATAGATCTATCATTCTACAATTCTTTCTAACTTTCTAATTATCGTTATAAAATTATTCATTTTCATGATATTCTCATTACTATTTTATCTACTAAAACATTTAAAGAAATGAAAGCTGACTATAAGTTCTAATGTCTCGTCTGTGTTCTAAACGTAATGTTTCGTGATCGTCATTGCAGGGATTTATGTAGATCGCTCGGAAAAAGACCTTGAGCCAGCTCCAGTTAGTTTCACCCTTCTTGTCGAGGGAAATTCGAAAGATCTCCACACCCGCTGTCAAGATGACTATTTCCTCGCCGTCTTGGAACCAGCTCGATCCATGTAGTTCGCTTCGTAGCGACTAGGAGACAGAGGTAGACGGAGAAGAGAAGAAGAGACAGACAGAAAGAAAGAAACAGGCAGAAAGTGCGCATTGAGATTTTGAAGATGTACCATCTTCAAAAATTACATCTCTACTAAGTTGCTGTTAACTATGCTAAATGAAAAAGTTTAATGTATTTATTAATTGTCTTTCCAAAATATATTCTATAATGTTATTTTAAATAAAACATAAAGAAAGTCTATTACTTCTCCTTTCATTTCCCTTATTTTAATTTCTAATTAAATAAAAGGTCTTAGCGATATAATTGTCAAATGAAAATAAAAAGGAAAAGAGACTTTCGAATTAGAACATGGATTTGTCGAATAGAGAGATTAACAGGCGGTGTTAGATTTATATTTTGCATATCTAACATCAACGTATCACCTGTTCTTACATTCATGAAGACACTATCAAGCTGTTAATGACGTGCTAAAATCGCATTCGCACATCTTCATTATGTGCATTATACTGATGACGATCGTAAACGTAATGCGTAACCACACAACTTCGTTTGAAAATATTATGCGAAATGTTCTCATTCGGATTAATCCTATAATATTTTGATGTTGAAGATATCTGTTGAATGATACCTATATAAATTCTAGTTTAGCTCTACGTTAATTAAAAACTTAATAATTAAATTTTTCTGCACACTTTGTATTTGCGTGTGTCCGTATGCGTATAGAATTAAATAGGAACACATACCCTTTCCACTTTCTTCAACGCCGGCATAGGCTTCTCGACTTCCTTCAAGTCTACCTTTTCTTGGTCAGCCTCTTCTCGCGCCCATTTCTGGTATTTTCTCTTCTTCAACATAGCACGGAAGTCCATGCCACTGGCGTCTGTCAAAAATTCATCACAAAATCAAAATTAAAAGTAACAGAGCACAATTTACACCATCATTCACATTTCAAATATTAGAATACATTAAATGTTAAATTAAATAATAATACAGTGCTCAAATTTTTTATATATGAGTAAATGGAATAGAAAATTCAGGCTTTGTAGAATTAACTCACCGGAAACGTAGAGTTGCATCTCGGCGGAATCCTCGCCATGGATGTTGCTCACGACGATTTTGTAAGTTCCCTCGTCGTTGGGTTTCGTCTTCCTCATGCAGAGGGTGATCGTGTTGGTCTCCGCGTCCGTGAGGAACTTGAAGCGGCCACCCTCGATGATCTCGGTGATGCCCTTGTAGAATTTGAAAGTTGGCGCGGGCGTGCCCTCCACTGCGACGGTGATGTACGCCGTCGAGTCTGCCAAAATTGTCAATAGATTAACATTTTTAGAATAATAGTATAATATAAAAAATTTTACAATGTAAAACATTAGTATTATGCTGCAATTATATCGATTTTGGGAAAATTATTTTGTTATTATTTTGTTTACTAAACTTATGGAGAACAAAATGCGTTACCTTCGACAGCTGAGTACGATTCCTGGACATCGACGATCTGGGGTGGTCCACCTGGTCCAACATCTCGCAGAGGTGTGCTAGGTAGATTGATCATATTCTCGAGGTCCGCCACGCTGGGTCTTCTGACGTCCGCTGCGCTCGGACGACGACGCTACACCATTCAAATGAAGATGTGAACAAATTTACACGCACATTGCCATCGTGTTTAACATTGACATCGAAAAGCTCTTGAATAAAGCGAGAAAATTTGAAGCACGGCGCGCGACGACTTCCTCCAATCATATAAGAGTAAATTTTATTTTGTTCACCGTATATCAATGTAATCAGGATCGAAGAAACGCATATTACAATCTGTTGTAGTTAATACATGACACAAACCTAATAATATTACATAAAAGACAAATGTTAGGTAAATATTTAGTTGTTTCTACAAGCGCTTCTTTTGATCTTAATTTTCATTTCCATGACGATAAAAACTGAGCTCATTAATTCTCTTAAATTATCTCCTTGCAAGAGAGAAACTAATAAAAAAGTAAAGAAATGGAAGTCGTCGTTATCGCTTGAAAAATCTGCAGCGCTCATGCGTTTCCGCATATTTTTTTACATATATAATTAACATTTAATTATTACTTACGTTTATTTATATTTAATCATTGTGAGTTAATGTTATTAACAGTTGAAAGTTATTTCACATTATTAATCAGCGTTACGTTTCACTCGTTAGTCCACTGTGTGTTAGTCACTGAATCGAGTGAGTTTCAATAGTATTAGTGACAGTATTAGATCTCGTCCATTGTTCAGATACATTGATTAGCAAGATGGGATCAATAAATATGGATAATTTTACATGATGACTTTCCGACATTCGTGGCAAATTCTCCGATCGTGTGCAGCCACTGCGATTTCAAAGATTTTTCTTACACAATTTCCATGACAATTCTGTGAGATTAGTAACTAACAATAAGTATTATTAGACAATGTTAATTTTTTATTAAATTAAATTTCAACAAATTATTTCAGAAATTTTAGGCAATATCTATTCACTTGCCTTTTATTTCTGCATGTTTATCTTCGTTACGCAAAGAAAATGTATCAAATAATTAATGATAGGTAATTTACTAAGCGTGTAAGAAACCTTTGAATAAGCAGTAGTCGGACAAAGGAAACAAAAAGGGAACTTATTAATCAGATAAAGAAGAAAGCAGGAATGTGTACTTTTAATATTTCTTGAAAATTTCTACGATGGCCATAATGGAAAATATAAATGGCACCGAAGTCTATCTGTAGACATTTGTACATTATTCCTGCTTTCAACTTTAGAATGAAAATTGCTAGTTCAATGATAAAATTCGTGTTCTTATGATGATGAGAATACGATATTTGTGCGTCGATGCACACTCAGCGCGTGAAATCGTGGACAAACGCATTTGTTACGATATATGAATCGCAAAGCGAAAGTGCGAATCACGAGTTACGCATGGGATGAGAATTTAAAGCCGGAACATTATAGTTAATCATTATTTACACGAAATTGTCGTCGGTCAAGAGACTTTCAGACGGGATTAAATTGCACAGAGAGGAATAATTTTGCAGAATAAGAAAAACATACAAATCGAAGTTTATAAATTACTCTTTTTATGGTTATTACAACTTTTGAGTTATTGCAATACTGCAATATTGTATCACATTACTAACTTATATTATTTTCCGTATTTACTGCTGTTATCCTCACCAGTGCAATCTAATTTTATTTTATGAGATAATCTACGACAAGGCATCGTTAGCGATATTCTTGGCCTGTCCTCGCAAGCCGTCGAATGTTAAAATACGAAAATGCATTAAGATAATTAACAGAAGTTATAGAAAATTGGGGAAGAGAGAGAAATGTGGATTCGACATGATGTGTATGACATGAATGACTAGTTTTACTGCTTTGACAATGAAATGACTGCTTACTTCGTGAACCAATCTGATCCTCGTTTACAATTAAATTGCTGTTCGAACATTCGTCTAACAGGAAATTCAGTTATCAGGATTATTTACAAAGAGACACGTTACAATATCTACACGATATGCACAAATACGATGTCGTACATCTATAAGTCAAAATGATAACACGATGAAACATACTTAGTTTTTCTTTTTAAAGAGCGACACCGTATTCGTGACGATGAAAATGAGAATATTTCGATCGAATCTATTTGACACATATAGTGTGAGCACGATGGATATTTACACCTATACATAAAATTCTACACGAATAAGTTATTTCACACATATATATCTTCGACATAAAGGAGCGAACTGCTCGGTCTCAAATCTATCGCAGCGATGTGCAAAAGAAGAGAACCGGAATCTCCAACGTCGATCTCCCACAGTGGCAAATTATTATACTGTTTGTAAAATATTTGCCACATACACAATTTATAAATATAATTTCGCGTAAATAAGAAATTATTTTTAGCAACAGAAAGCATATATATTTATACTAAAGTTCTCTTAAGAAAGACTCTTAATATAACTACTTAATCATTTTATTTTATTCGTTGGAGTATACCGTGCATGTTAAAATAAAATTGCACTACTGCGACAAGTCTGATACCGAGTCGTACTGCAACTACTTAATTTTTAATGGTGGTAGATCTCGCATGAACAATTTACAGCAATTACTTCATTCTCATTGGTGGTACATCTCGAGAAACCGGTGGAAAATGTATGTATATGTCAGCAATTTTGCTTTTCTCACGAACTATTTGTAACATGAATATATTCTAATCTTTTACCACCATTACAATTGCAACTAAACTGCATCTATACAGCCGCATAAAATGTACAGGTGTATCCGCTCGAACTAATAAGCAGAATTTCCGCAACGCGACCGCAATGAGCATCCTCAGGTGTTACATACATTGAATCGATTCATACGCGTTTCTAATTCTTAATTACAAAGTTTGCGCATAAATCGACGCAACGCAAAGGAACACCGTCCGTAAGCGCATTTCGTCGGCGTTGACTATCGCGAGAAAGTGCTCTTTGCAAAATATTTATAGAACATACAGGTTTATAACATCCAAAAACTTCGTTAACAAAAATTATTTGGTTTGGCACAGATCTCTTCTTAATTGCAAAGAAATCGACAGACTTTTTGCGTCGTAAGAGAATTTTACTTTCTAATTTAGTTTATCGAACTTTTCGATAAAAGTTTCGATAAAGTCTTTTATTTTATGAGTAATAGTTTCAAGTATGTCAACAGATAATCAATTCTTTATTACTCAACCAATTTGTAAGCCACATTTTTGGAAGTTATTCAGAAATATCCTGTATAAATTTCCAACTTTCAAGCACGCAAGAAATAAGAAAATAAATATCGAGATAACGTATATATAAACGTATATAATACAAAATAATATAAAAATATACATATGCGTACACGCACAACAGAGATATTGTGCTAACCTCTTTTTCTTGCAGCGCGCCTGGTCGGCCGGACTTAGTCTGTGTGTGGTGCGTGAAAAAATAAAAGATGAGATAGAGACAGAAAGGTAGAGACAGAGGTCCGGGGGGGGGGGGGCAGAGAGAGATTAGAATTCTCAAATTCTGAGAGGGGGTGGTGGTCCACACGCGGTGGGCTCTTATCGGGGAAAACGTGCTCGATATAATGGGGGGAAAAAGGGGGATGATTCGTCTTTCGATGTAAAAGAAAAGAAAACTCAGATTATTGATCAGTAAATTACTTGCCAATATGCTCTCATGAACGTATAATATTAAAAGATATTAAACCGGTATTAAAAATTACGGTATTAAACCGCGATGGTTGAGAAAATAGCGGCTAGCGTGTTTACAGTAGCGGCAGCAGCAGCAGCAACCTCAAAAAACCTCAGTTAAAACATGTCGCAGAATTATTATTTTTATTATTATTAATATCATCATCGTCATATGGTCATTATGATTAATTATTAATATTATTATTGCCGTCCCGTGGTAACGCGTGGCGTTGCTTTTGCCTCTCTCACCGGGGACTTTCCCTCGTCGAGTTTTTAGTTTTTCGTTTTAGTTACTGGGCTTTTATTATTTTTGCCGTTTTTCTGGGCGACAAGGGGGCGAAACACGACGCTTAAAAATTATGATGGCTTGGGGGAGGGGGCGGGGGCGCAAAAAATACAAAAATTCAAAAAAGGAGATCGATATCCGTGAGACAGAAAAAAAAACAGAGCGATACACGGAAGATTGCTGGTGATGGTACTCTGAGCAGGTAAGCTTTGTGTTATAGCGAACACAAATCTCACCTTTATGTCCAACACCTCACCGGGCCGTAACCTTCCCAACTGCAAAAATCACAGAGACGAACACATGAGGGTCTGCTCGTAATCATAGAGACGTTCCTTTCGTCGCTTTTGTTAACGCGGGATCTTTGTTAACGCTTCCCGACAGATTTACACAGGGAACAGACATCGAAATATACCTTTTCTCTCTTACAGAAACAGCCTGGTAAAAAGCGATGATCCCGAAAATGGAAAACAAAAAAATGCTCCTGCTTGCTGGCTTCGCTGTTTCTGTTAAAAAGTTAAACTGGCGAGAACTGGCTCTTCTTGCCTCGGGTTAAACAATGGGCTGCTTTTATTATTCTCTCGGGACAGAGTCTCGGTAAATCTCCGAGGATACGGACGAATGAAAGTCGGGGGTTGGAGGGATTTCGAAGGGGAATCGCGGTAGACAAACACAAACGGGGGTGGCTACTGGCTGTTCGAGGCTCGCCTTACCGACGTTGCGACGGCTTGTGCGTTTGCATTTCTGTGCGGTGCATTGCTATACATGACAGTGCGAGCCGGCGGTGCGCGGTGTCAACTAATACGTCAGTGAGTTTAGATGCAACCAGATCGCATGAAAGAGACGGATCTCTTGAAGAGCGAATCGCCATTCGCAAAAATAATCTGAGAACTGCATCTCGATCACCTCGAACCTACCACGTTTCTTCATTACAGTCGTTACAATTTCAAACTATAATTTTATTGTTTTTTAAATATATAATTACTGTTTCATAAATTAATTGGCCCTTTCTAATTATTATTGATTTTTTATAACGTCAAGGTTCGAGATACTCGATTAGAGAAGCAAGGGCGCATCGGTGGTCAATCGCGAGGTCGCAACGTTATCTCAATAAAGTTATAGGTACATCAATGTACTAATAAGCTTGATAATAAAGTTTACATATAAAATATAAAAATTTCTAATGGCTATTATTTACACCCGTCAATACTTTTATCAATACCGTTTCGACTGTTCAAACTTTGTTACAAACTTTCGGAAGAGATTTTTCAAAACAATCCGATATCGACTTATCAAATTCGTTCGAGTTCAACCAGACGTTTCCAGGTTGCGCGTGACAAGAGTTCTCGAATTTGCCTGGGTGGCGAATCGGGCAATAATTCACGCTTTGATAATGGCACACATTTGATGCTGGTAGAAACGAGGTAACAAGTGTTTCACGCGAACAATGAGGCAGCTTGATCGTCAGGCATGATTCACACGTCTTGTCGCGCTGCTCCGGACATTTATTAACGCCGATGTCTGTCTACGGCGGCACAATGCTTGCCAAGATCACCCGGTGATCTATCGGGTGAACATGTAAGCCAGGGAAGACTCGAAACCTTATATGCGAGTGATTAAGTGACAACTCGACGCGCGCACACGGACGAGCCCTGGCTTCCTCCACTCCCCTTATCTCGCATTATTAATTAATATTATTGTTGTTATTATTATTGTCGTCAAGAGTGGCAGTATGCATAGACTCGGTTGCAACAGATCCGTGCCAGATGCAGAGATGCATTCGCTTTTTACTCGCTGATCAGATCTTGGATTACGTATAAATATCGAGAGGCACGTGCGAGAGTTTCGCCCCAATATTAAACTGAAAGACAGAATATTTCAAAATGTCTATTAAGAAGTATGTTAAAAAATTAAATATGTTTAAAAATAAAGGATGCTGGAACTCTCCCACGTGAAAGTTTGCACGTCATCGTCGGGAATCTAACTGTCCGCTTCCGATAATGTAAAGTTTATTTATTAATCGAGCATATAAATCAAACCATTATTATCATAAAGTGTGCGTGATTAAATTCGGGACGATGCGTGTAAATGTCGTGCATCGTGTGCCATAAAGTACGACCACAGTCAGTAAATAGTAGTAACGAGCAGGCAAGATCGGGCAAAGAGAATCGTGAATGCAAGATTTTGCCATTAGTAAAAAAACTCGTGTTAAGAATATCAGCGTATAAATTCTTTTAAATTTTTTCACCAATTTTTTTAGGACACTTGTATCACATTTTATGCAATTTTAATTTTAACATTTTCTTCTCCTTACAACATCCTTACAATATCCTTAAACAGCTCCCTTGTTTCAGTGCAGATGTACTTGAATCGATTCTCTTTACGCGATGCTCCGGTAAGTGTGTACGAAAGAGTGCGTGAGAAAAGTAAGTAGAATAAAAGTGCATTTGGTAGTCGAGTAAGGTTGCAGGCGAGACATTCGCTTCCGCGTTTCTTTTTTTCTCAGCGATTTATCTCACCTTGCGCTCGTCCACCACCTCGCCGGGACGAAGCTTCCTATGCTCCTATGGACCAAATCTCTATTAACCACTACTGCGAGGTAAAGGTGGTTGTATGGGCACGTGTGTGTTTGTGTTTGCGTGTATGCACAATGTACGATGCTGCAACATGTCTATGTCGTATAAAATACATGATCGTTCGCCGGCGTTTATCCTATCATCCCGTTGGACTGTATCGAAACGCGTTCCCCGTTTTATCTTTATCTTGAAACTGAACCAAGTCTCGGGAAATTAACTAAAATTAATTACATCAACAGCAAGTTGTGCGTCTGCTTAATTTTAGTAACTTCAATTAATACATTTCTGCTATTTGCATACCTGAAAGTTGCTCTAGTTAAAAGCAGTCAAGCTAAAAATATTTGTTAAGGTTGTAAGGCTAATTATAATTCAGATTATTTAAGGCAACATGTGAGATCTTATCTTACTAATAAATGAAATGTCTAATGCACGTTTCACGGGGAACGCTTTCGATGGTCCCGCTCTCAGCTGAGGTAATACCACATGGTCGGCAATTATCCGTGTTTCTTCGACGATCTTCTTGGAGGAAGCGTCCGTTTATAGTTTCTTCAGGTTCTTGCTTTCCGCAAGTCGATACGCACCAATCTTGGACATCCTCGATATTACGCATCGCAGGTTGCTTTTTTTCATTCTTTTTTTCTTTTTTGGAGGAATTGTCTTTGACGACGGGAGGCAGCTCGATTTTTCTCGAAGGAAAGAATAAGGGAGGCAAGGAGTATGCTTCAGAAGCTGGTCAACTCTGGATCTTTCACTGATGAGGGATTTTAACACTAAATCTCACGCCTTGCTGACACTAAACGCGACGTGCGTCACTCGACGAGCTCGTCGTCGGGGATTCACGGCGCGTATCTATCACGAGTACGACCAATAAGACCATCACTGGACTTACACTATAAAACTCAAAAAAAAGCTACAAAAAATCCTAGGACCAACCAGCAGTAGCCAGTCATCTACCTACTTGTTCGTCGAGTGTCTTACGTGACTCGTTAATCATCTACCTAATGGGACTCGCACTTTGCACTCTATATTTAGTTATAACATAACATATTGCAACACAGAAAGCGACTCACAATTTTATTTATTAAATAAATTTGAAAATAATATATAATATTATTAATTAAAAATATATACATTAAAATAACCTTTCTAAATAATTATTGTAATTATATATGTATATACAAGAGTGCAAAGTGTGTTGTATCACCCTCTTTGCTAATTTTGACATGTGACGAAATAATAGAAAATTGCAAATGAAAATAATTATCTTGACAGTGCAGTTATAGTTACAAGAGGAGACATCAGACGATCCCCTTAATGAGGCCTTAATATTGATTTGTGATTTAATATTCCACTAAAATAGATCCATCGCGTCGCAGTCATTAATTTCTGAACTTTGAAGCTAATTGGAACAATGTCTGGCGATTTGACAAGATTCTTCCAATAAATTAACAAGTTCAGTAACGATCTGTTTCTTTAGACATTACTGAGACTTCTGCAAAGCAAACTGGGTGATCTCGTGAGTGCGTAAGAATGCAACAATGTTCTTAAGCTCAAATTCTATTTATGTAATAGCTTGATAATTAAATTAACTTTTAGTATTCAAGTCGAAATACATATTAGTTCTACTTGCAAACACTTTAATGTCGTTTATCTTATAATTGAAAGCTTGGGAATTAAAGATAAACTGAATTTTCTTGAAAATTTAGTTAGCAGTTTAGAGAAACTAAATCAGAATATTTAAATATATCACTCATCTCTGTTGCATTCTTCAGCTCAGTCCCCTATAAGGTAGTCTATATACTTTCGTGATCACAAAGTACATTCCATAACATACCTCGTCACTGATAAGCAAGCTGGGCCTACGACCCAATTCCTCAGGTGGTATGAGCGAACCGCGTCGACTGCTAGTACCGCTTCCTGGTGCCAAAGAGCCCTTTCTGCTGCCGACCGGTGTCACGTCCCTGATAACTTCAATCTTAGGTGTCTCGGGCGCTTTAATCTCCGGTAACTTCGGCTGCGATGATCGAAAATTAATCGATTAATAGCGTTTACTTCCTTTCCATCAAGCCCGTTTACAAGATTAAGCGAAAAGTTAAATCTCTTTTAAACTTTGATTAATTTAGTATTTCTTCACATTACATCAATTACATATAACGGTAAATCAACCCTTTCCTCCTTGATTGATAGAAGAAAAATTAGCCTCATACGTTTCATTAATAACGAATAATTTTGTAAATAATTACACGGAGTCTCTTTTTCCTAACATAATTAATTAAAAAAAGGAGATGTTAATATATTGTTTGACAAAATGAATTACGTTTCTTACGATTTAAATATCCTGTGTAAATTTAATAAAGCTAGACAGAATCACAGTTACGTTAGTCAAACTTTTCAGCTTAATCCACAAATTCACTTTACCGATATCTTAATTAACAAAGAATCACTACTCAATGGAGACCCAAACGAGTTTCACGATGATTATACCGATGATTAAGGTAACGAGGGTTCGCGTTAAGATGGTGACTTAACACGATCGCGTACGTAGGGCGATTACGACTGACCCTGCAATTCGAATGCGAGTTGCCATTGGGTCGGTCGTAATAAGGCCGAAAATAGCGATCAACGTTTTCCCCATCCTCGTTCGACGACGATGACGACGGCGAAGACGAGAAACCGATTTCAGGGGGATGATATACGAGCATTTATCCGCCAAAATAGTTCTGTCGCAGGCGCGACGTTGCACAGGAGGCATTCATCGCTTGCCAAGGCAAGATTGGGACCGGCTGATTATTACCCCTTTCCGTTTTCTTCCCCTGCCCCTTTGCCTATCCATTCGCAATGCATTAATTGCGATTATGCAGGTGGTAAGAGGATATTTATGGCGCGGGGGCATTGCGTCTTCGATGAGAACAGAAAATCTGAGGTCGACTTTCATACTGAAATACCATTTTGCTACATTTCTGGAAGAGATCACGTTGGTCCCTAATCCGAAGGATTATTATTAACCACATTGTCACGCGGGCTGCTTATTTCGAAAATAGTCCCATTTCATAAGCAAATAAATATATAAGTTTATGAATAAAATTAATATAAACTCAGCAGTCAAAAATAAAGACTTCGGAATAAAGTTCTCGGAATATATTACGAGTAATTCCACACAGATTTTGATTTAGCAGAATATTAATCTAAGATATAATTATTAAAAAATTTTGAAGTAATAACAAAGCATATAAATAAAATAATAATAATATTTATGAAATTATTTAAGCTCTCGTTTTTTGCATATGTATAAGGAATATCCTGCACTAGTATCGTATTTTTAGATGATATAAATAGTGACGATCGTGGCGCAGAGGATTGTGCGCTGGTCTGGTAATCCCAAGACCCGGGTTCAAAACCAAAACAAAAACGTTGTTGGTTTTTCGCGTTCGATCGCCACTAAAAAAGTATCGTCTAGCGTAAAATTAGATAAAGCCTGTACGAGGGTATAATCAACAAAGATCCAGTACATTAATATCACTGGATCTTTGTTGATTGTACCATTCATATAGATTTTATCTAATTTAGCGATCTAACGATACTTTTGCTTCCTCATAGAGGAAGCTTTGTTTCGATGCGAAAAATTTTTTTCCAATTTTCAATGCCAATGGGTTTAGTATAATCTAAAAACTCAAAAAACACACTAATTTAAAAAATGTGTGTGTGTGTGTGCGTGCGCAATAATTGTTCGCGCTCTCA